TTTTGCTTTGTTTCTTTGTTACAAAACTCTCTAATGCTACACATGTGGTTTACAATCAGTTCAAGCTCTTTTCAAAACCTTACTTTTTTTCGTTTAGCTGTTAGTTCTCTTCTGCTGTTTCCATGGAGGTTATGTGAGGAAACAATGATTAAATGACAACATTGTTTATACATCATCATCATAGCGTGTTTGCTTGGTTTATGAGACTCAGTGATGTTGGTCAGCAGATACTCTAATAAACGTGCAACAGTCCCGGTTATTTCTACCACAAGGACTTAAGAGACTTAACGTAACCCAATGAGAAATAAGATGCAAGCCACTTCAACTTAACTTTACCCATAAAGTGCGTGAAGCTGCTAGCGAGTGCTTTTTTGCTAAAGCTAACGCTAACGTTACTTTTACACTTGCAAAACGTCACCATACGTTTGAACTCAATACTGTACAAAACACAAGTTGCAAGTCATGCGTTTGAACTCAATACTGTACAAAACAATCAAGTTTTAATAATATAATAACGTTACTTACTTGTCTCCGTCGTGTCCATCTGCCGATTCCTCCGTTGAACAGCTGCGCTCAGTAGCTAAATCCGATAGGCTAACGACGGCCCTCTCTCGAAATCTTAGCGTTCTATTGGTCAAACTGTTATAGTAGACTGCAGCGTTTGCCTGAATATTAAACAAACTTTAAATTATAATTGTGGAAAAATGTGCAAGAATATCGAGTGGCAACAACCCGGATCTGATGAAGAATAAAATAATCTTAACAATTTTACAAATCCAGGTTGTCCCTGCACGGGGATTGTTACTTTCTAAAACTAATGCAGATACGCGGCTTCGGCCCACCGCCTAAAAATGTTTATTAAAAAAAATAAAATGTGCATCATGCTACAGTGTTTAACACTAGTACTTAAGATATTAAAATATTACAAATAAAATATGTATCCTCACTGTGCTGAGGCTGTAAGTGTGAAAATTTAACTACAATATATACATCAATAGAATGAAACAGAATAAGAGTAAACATAAGAAATACATGCACTGTATGTTGAATAAATATATACATTCAAGAGGTGAAAAATATTGCAGCAGTTGAATTATTGCATCCTGTTGGTTTTTATGAATTATAAATGCAGTAGCTTAAAAAGTCCAAAAGCCAGTCCAGTGACAGAGCGGCCGACACTCTGAGGGAGAAGTTGTGATGATTGATGGCAACCGGCAGGAAGGACATTCTGTGGTGCAGTGTTTGTCCAGCAGTCATGGAAAGGGTGGGAGATGTTTTTCCGCCCTGTTCACAGGAGAGACCAACAGCAGTGCAGAACCGATGACAACGACACTCACCACACCACTGCAGGTGCAACAAAAGCCCCGCAAGCACAAAGCCAATAAAAGTAACTCATTAATGAAGCCTCATCTGTGTTAAAGATGTACGGATAACAAAAATAAACACTGAGTGAAATACATTTCATTCAGGTAACTCAGGCAAAGGCTGCAAATAGATAAAGGAGAGGGTTTGTTTTTTTATACTTTGCTATTTAGTAAAAAGGAACACCTTGGATGTCGTGTGGCTGTGTAATGAGGGAAAATAGAAGAATCGGATCGGGACTTGATATCTAGATATTCAGTATCAAATGACTCGGATTGGCATTGGGGGCAAAAAGACTTGATTGGGACATCTCTAGAAAAGATGCCAAGTCATTATTTTAAAAGTTTTTAATTATCTTGAGGCACTAATTCACTACGTTGAGATACTAGCTTATTATTTTGACATGCTATGTCATTATTTTGGGAAAATAAATAATTATTTTGAGATAGTCAATATTTTAATATACAAACTCATTTTTGAGATATTAACTCGACATTTTTGAGATACTAATTCATCATTTTGAAAGTTGCGCCAGGGTCAGCCGTACGCCCACACTCCTGTCATTAAGATTGATTGTAGGCTGTTGTTTTCACAGTAGTCAGTCGAAACATGCTTTTGTTTAAAGAACGCCTACACCAGGCTTATGTTTCGACACCAACATGACTTTGCAAAATCTTCAATTTCCCCATCTACATGTAACGCCAAGCCAGTGTATTGAAATGAATCCATTTTGGTGATTGTTCTTGAAAAGTGTAGTGTTTCAGTGAGTGAAAGAAAGTATGGCTGTTGTAGTGTGTTTCTGCTTGCTAATGTCAGATGCTCTGCCGTGCGTGAATGCTTCCATCTATCAGTGCCTGTAGTTGTCTTTGTGCCTACTGATATGGGATGTGATTGCCTGATGAGATTTTATCCTCCCAACAGGTCTCAAGGTGATTGGAGGAAACATCACCGTGGTTCAAGGGGAGACCGCCATCTTACCCTGCAAACTCGTCGACACAGCAGAACCCTTGACTCAGATTTCATGGCAGAAGATGACCAGAGGAAAACCTCAGAATGACAATTTCTATACAATCTTGGCTAAAAATGGACCACAGTTTGTCAACGGACATGACGATCGATTTGCATTTGTCGGGAACTTTAGCGAAAACGATGGATCTCTGGAGTTATCCAACACCACACTGATGGATGAAGGCACCTACACATGCATCTTCACTTTGTTCCCCAGTGGCAATCACAAGACAGAGATACCTCTAAATTTGCTTGGTATAATGTGTTGTATTAAAAATGAGTAAGAGAATTGTTTTTACCTTCTTGCTTGCATGTTAACTTTTTTTATGTATGTAACTCCCCTAGTGCCTCCGGTCATAAGCCTGAAGGATGATCCTGTTACTTTGGGTGATGAAGAGGTTTCCCTCGTTACCTGCACGGCTGCTGGTGCCAGGCCTCCTGCAGAGGTGGTGTGGATCACTGGTACCCTGGAAGAAACAGTGAGGATAACAACCAACTACAGCTCGCATGCCAACGGTACGACTACCACGGTCAGCTCACTGTTTGGAATACCAACCAAAAAAATCAACAGTCACTCGGTCCAGTGTGTTGTCACCAGTGCAGCCAGGTCGGACAAAGAAACCCTCAACTTCAACATACAGGTCTTCTGTGAGTATACAAATACTTTTCTACATTACTTAGCAATGTGTTTGATTGTTGTAATTCATTTTAGCATTGTTATTTAATTTATTTAATTAATTATTTGAAAAGCAGGTCAGTCGCCAGAATAAAATGTCACATTTTTACATTTCAAACGTATCATATCAATGTTTTTGGATCATCATTCTATCATCACGCTGTAACCTGTGACAGGCTGTTATGATACCAGAACTATTGCACATATGACGTTTTTTTGTTGAGTCACAAGCGTCACGTAGGTTTATATTACCAAAGATTTACAGCAAAATCACTTGATGAAACTGACTCCCGTGTGAAAGAGGTGAGGGGGAGATGCTGTGCTGCTGCTGGAGGAGCCGCTGAATGAGTTCCCTCTGACCGGTAACTCGCTAAAAGAGTCTGAGAAGAAGCTGTTCATAAAACATTCAGGATGTTCAGGAGGTTTGTTGTTGCTGTAGTTAACTGTATGAGTCAACAGGTCTAAATATTGCAGTATCATGATATGAATTTTTTCATATGATATTAAAAATTATACCGATATTATCCTGAACAAGATGATATGGCACACCCCTAGTTTCCAGCAGCTTTTCAGCCACCAAACCTGGGTGTGTTAAGCAAGCTGTTGCCATTTGTGACAAAAAAATTGGTTGTTTCTTACCGAGACATTGCTGCCTTTCCTGCCAGGCAATGCCACAAATGCGATTGTTTTTTACACAGACTTTGCTGTGTCTCCTGCTTGATAGTAGCACAGAAAGATTTTTTATTTTTACCGAAACACAGCTGTGTTTTCAGTTGGGGGGATTTTGCTGCCAAAACATGACTTTTCCTAACTGAAACCAAGTGATTTACATGCCCTTAACTGCACATTCACCACAGTGTTGTTAAACAGGAAAGGTTCAACATATCTGCTTTATAATAACATTAAGATATATGTGTCTGTGATTTGCTAAAAAATGTATGCTGCCAACATTTTTTCTGGCGTTTTGGCTGTTGAAACAGTGGTTGGCACTGTTGGCATAATCACCCCCACAGATGTTTCTATTTGCTCTGGTTACAGGTGCTCAAACCTTTGCTGGGGACTATTTTAACACGACTCTGTGCACAAAGTCATACTGCAAAATCATCTTTTAAGACATTGTCTGATGTTAAATTACAGATATGTGATCTGTTTAAAATGGGAACTGCTTTGCACAAGACATGCCTGTTTCTTTTCTTGTGTACTCTCTCTCCATGAATGTTGCTTCATGTTTACACAAACTTCGAAATGCACTTGTAACAACAAGCCAAGAAGGACAAGAGTCGAGACAATAAGGAGGGCAGCTAAGACAAAGGGCACGGTCAGGCAAGGAGGTGACAGAGCAAGATGCTTTCTTAGGTCGTTGGTCGCTACAGTGGAGGCAGTATTTGAAGCTAGCTCGTTCTCTTTCTGGCTTGTGAGCCAACTGACGACACAGCACATTTAGCACGACTTACAGTAGCAGACAGTCCCACAAGGCTCTGGCTGGGGAATTTGAGGCTTTGGGTATTTTGTCTGGAGCCAAGTTACAGTCCTTGAGTTCAGATGTGTTTATTCAGTCAGTGGAGAAAAGCTCAAATCATTGATGTGGATCAGTTTCACAACATGCGTTCAGGGTCACACAGCTGCTCGCCATCTGCAACACAGGTGCAAGAAAAGTTTAGCCTACATAACACTTCTAACTTTATAGTGTTATTTTCGGGTGTTGTAGTCATCACTTCTGTCAAGTGTATTTTTACAAGGGAAGCCCCAAACTGAAACATACTGTATAATGGCTGATAATGTGTTCAACTTATTAAAGTAGTCAGCTGTATTTTTTCGAGTGAGTAGATTTTAAACATGGTCTATGCCCCAGAGAATTATTTATACCAGAGCTCACTGGGTAAACTCCAAACCGCTGTTGCATTGAGATCATTTTTCTGGTTCACACCCAGAGTGTTTTTATAAACCACACCAGGCCACGCCTTTCTAGCCCACTCAAAGTGTGACAAACGCCTGGAGTCAAGGGCGAGAAGTGTAGCATGGAAGTCCTTTTTTTCCCCCTAAAAAAATAAGCACACCTGGTATAAACATGCATCTGATATGGAGAATGCATCTCGACTGAGCACTTGTGATAGGATCATACATAAATATACATCTTTTCTGTTTGCAAACTTCAAATGGGTTGTTTTAACTGGTGTGCACTTCCTATGAATGAAGAAGTAGTTTGCAAAGACTTTGGCTTGCGGCCAAACAATACAGATAACACCAGGCGCAATGATGAAACCTAAAACTTAACCATTCATTGTGTTGGGTCTAAAAGTTTGCTTTCACTCGCCTCTGCAGCAGCTGCTCCTCTCACCCATCGATCTGATCTGATTAGCTCTGGTCAGATCAGCTGATCAGTCCTCTACCCCAAGGCTCAAACTCCACAAACAGCTGCTGAGGAATTAAAGAACTAATGAGACATTCTACCTGTGCTGCATTCATGGACCCTCTGTATTTAGGCAGGGTGTCCACAGGGTCTTAAAAAGTATTAAAAGTTGATAAATCAAATGTCAGAAAATTAAGGCCCTTAAAAAGTATTAAAAAGTCTTAATCACGATTTTATGAAGTATTAAATTTTCTTGGCATTCAGGCTTTGACAAAAAGTATCCATGAATGTATAATTTATTTTCCTCCTTGCGACTACTACAAACAATTTAGTAATATTTGGCATGGTTTATTGTCAATCTGAATCTGAATCTGAATATTCTACCCATTAATATGTTTATACAAGTGTATGATCGCTATAAAATAAAATTCGTTTGGTTTTCGTAGCCTTATAATTATGCTTATATATATATATATATATATATATATATATATATATATATATATACATATGTATAGCAAGGGCCTTGCTTTAGAGAGGTCGCCATCTTGCGCCGCCATGTATGTAAGGCAGACCAAGCGGACAATCCAGCCAGCCAGAGAACGCGTTTCGCGTGTATAAATGAACCAACGAAGACAGCGGAAGGAAGGAAGAAGGAGGAAGAAACAGCAGAGAGTGTTAGTAATTCGTCAATAGAGAGTAGTGAAAAGTTTTTTTAGTTATAAAGTTTGCGAATGGACCACACTTACCACGCAACAGGAGAGAATGAACCTGAACTGTCATCTGCGAGGAAAAGAAGATGCAACTTCACTCCTTGTGATGCACTCTCTGCGGCGCTTTTCCTCCTGATGATATATCTCCCCAACGATGGTGGCAGTAGCACCGAATCCCATTCTGGGCATTCAGCCTCTCTTCGCGCCCGCTCAGCATCAAACACATGGAGTTCCTCATCTGTATGCTCCGGCTCAAACAGGTATGGCTCTGGGTCTGTGTCCGCTACAAGAAACTCTTCAAAATCGCGTTCAAAGTCATCCATTGCAACTACTATAGTCCGGAGATATTGCTAGGCTAAATAAACAGCTGAGCTCTGTTTACCGGCTACCCTGTCAGTCAGTGTGCGGGCTGGAGGTTGGTGGAGCAGAGAGGGGAGGGGGTGTCCACTCGTTATGGTAAACGAGTATGTGTGTAAAGTTATGAAGTGTGTGTGTTACGCTACAAGAGTCAGAGTTTGGGACGGAGTGGAGTGTTACCGGAGTTTCTGGAGTGCTCAAATAAACAGGCCTTTTTCCCGAACGCTCCTCTGGTCTCCTGCTTGTGAGGGATTCATTACAATATCGTAACATGGCTTAGATTTCTAAATAAACATTCACCTCGTTGCTAGATAGACCTACTCCTGAAAAAGTCGTGCGCAAGGCTTTTTGTCCCTACAAGGCCACCGTCATTTACCCGAAGGGAGGGGTGAGCGAGTGAGCCCTGCAATCTAGAATTTGACCACTGATGTCACTGTTTTCAACCCATTTTACACACTGGGCCTTTAAAGGCAAAAAATGCCCCCCAAAAAAAAAAAATATAAAAAAAGATGCGTTGCTGCTAACAACAGCTTGAAGTGGCGATGAGGTCTTAAAGTTTTTTTGGAAGGTCTTAAAAAAAGTCTTAAAAAGGTATTGAAATTAACCTCAGGATTCCTGCATATATCCTGTTAGAGATGGGACACAGAATATGATCTGTCAGTTATAGTTAATAACCAATACCTACAGTAACTTCAGAAAGAAAAATAAATAAACAAACAGAAGAATCGAGAGCCATACACAATGTCCACGTGACAACTTCATATAACCTAATTGTTCTTTCTTTATGCATTTTCTTAAACTGCAAAATATTTAGACAACCCTTTAAACATATTCACATTCTGTAGAGAATTCCAGAGTTTTACGCCAATCACTGAAGTACACATCTGTTGTAATGTAGTCCATGCAAACTGGTGCTTAAAGCGAAATTTTCTTCTATGCTCGTCGTCCTCTAAAATAAAAACAAACCGCTTTTGTAAATGTTCTGGTAACAATCTGCATGTTGCTCTATACATAATTAATAGTGTCGGTAACACAGTGCCACAAATACATGCAAGAAGTATAAAAGGGAAGTTTGCTGACACCCCCCTTCCCGTATCAGCTACCATCACACATAGATTCTGCTTCTGTGGGAAACACTGCTACTGGCGTGTTCCAGGCAAACCCAATAAAACCCAATAAAACCTATGTTGTTTGGAACACAGCTCTATTAAATGAGGCTGTTGGCTGAGTAGGTGCTTCTTCAATAGTGCACACACTGCCTAAAGAATGTGGCCATATGCCGCCCAGACAACCTCCAAATGTGGTCTAATGAATGGGATCTCAAGACATATTAAGGACACACTGGGTGCATTTCACTTCAAGAATCAGTGTGTAGGATTTAGAGGCATCTAGCAGTAAGGTTGCAAAGTGAAACTTCTCCACTGTGCCAAGCATGTAGGAGAGCTATAGTGACCAACACGAAAATAAAAATGGCCCTATCTAGAGGGTTGTGTTCTGGGCAACTGTCGAACATGGTGGACAAGGACCTGCTCCCTATGTAGATATAAACACCTCATTCCAAGGTTGCAATTGCAATTTTCAGGTGATTATAAACAAATGAAAATGTAGTTATGAATATTATATACCATTTTTGCCAATAGATGCCCCTAAATCACACTCTAGACCTTGAAAGCTGATCACTTGTGGTCCGATCACCCAGGACTCTACCTGTAAACAGGGCCTGTGGGAGCAGGTCAGTTAAAGTAAAAAAAAAAATGCTAAGAAGGTTGCATACTTTTTTTCCAACTGCATCACATGAGCTTTGTTCAGCTGAGCCAAGTCATTACCTCAGTCAAGTGACCAGCGTCATGGTTAACTTGAGGTCTTCAACCAGGGAGCAGTGGATGGCTGGAGAAAGATCATGAGGCGCAGTGCTGTGTCTGAACATTTTGGTGTCCTCGGCCAGACATCCGCTGGCGCCCTTGAGTTTAAATAATGTTATGTAAGAGCAAGAACAATGATTCAGGGAAGTAAGAAACACAGTAAGAAAACAAAAAAAGATGGATACTGTGATTTTAAAATAAATAAAATAAAATAAAATAACATAACGCATCTTTCAACAAAATCACTTAGTGTTATCTGGTTGCCAAAGCAAAAGAATGAAAAGGGGAGGAGACAATAACATAACAGAGATGACAGCTCAGTGCCAATACCAAAACAAATGTGCAGTAACAGCAGTATTGCAGACTAAATACGAGGCAAAAACAGTTTGAAGCTAGCGTAGAAAGCCTTTATCTTTCCTTCCTTCCTTCAGCTGCAGGGACAAAGGATCTCCCATTGAGGCTGGAATTCCCCACCAACCTTCAAATACACAGAACACTCCCAGCGTCTAAACCTCAGCCAGTAACAACATAGTCTGCAGACTGCCTAGATACAATTTCAACAGTCTGTGAGTCAGACAACAGCAGATTGACAGATTGCATCAGGGTAAATATTGTCAATATTTGTGAATTTGAAAAGATGGAATCCAAACATAGGTGTCCTTTAGTTTTCTGATACACTGTGATTAGTTTCTTCTCAGCAGTAACTCAGGTCATTCTCTCTCCCTGTTTCTTGCAGTTCCACCGATGGGAGTGAACATTACTGAGAAGTCTCAAGGCGTATTTGAATGTTTGACGGAAGCCAACCCACCCTCAACCTTTACATGGCAAAGGTATAGTAGTTTGAACGAACCAATTTCAATGTTTGAGAGAGTTGTGAGTTGTGTCATTGATTGATTTGATATGTGAGTTCTTAAATTTTTAATACATTTTTGGATTATGGCTGTAGCTGCAGTGAAGCACCGTTTGTAAGTTCTCTGATGTTACGCTGATGAAAGGCTGCTGTAATCATGGCTCATGAATTGCTTGAAATTCTACAGACATAAGACAAAACAACACAAAACACGTAACAAAAAAAAGGAACAGTTTAATAACATTAGATGTGAATTTTAAAACGTTAACTTGAGAACAGAATGTATTTTTAAAGCTCAGTATGATAACTTGACACGTTAGAGGCACCCTGGTCAGAAGGTCATCCACAGGAAGTCAAGAACTAAACATGATAGAACACAGCTTGGACGAACCTCCGCACAAACATTTCCAGGTTATTTTTAGAAATTTGTAGGCCTACGCTGAAGTGCCCTGAGCAGTTTGAAGTGGTTAAATTATTTCTTCTTTGTCCTGTTTTTGTCACCAAACAGCAAAACTGTAAAACACATTGAACTATTTGAAAATACAACATAATATATACACACTTTTTGACAATTATCACAGAGAATTAGAGGCAACAAACTGAACTAAATTTAAATTTCCAGTTTGCTGCTCTTCAAACCAGGCCTCATCCAGAATGATTGTTGGTTTCTGAAAAGGGAGGCTCACACCCCAGTCAGACAGGCACCATATGTTGCTAATAAAAAGCAAATTAATCCTGCCTTTATGAGACTTTATTGATTTACAGTGTGGACGTTGCTAATAGAAACAATGTACACAAACCAGAACAGGAAGCATGGACTGAAACCTTAATTTTATATTTGTAAATCATTAAAGCAGAAAGCTGCAGTAGAGTGACATGTGTCTGAGGGGAACATTAAACTCAGTGGTGTGTTTTGTCGAGGAATATGAGAATTAAAAGAGAACGCTTATCACTCTAAATAATCACTCTTATTGGAGGTTGTACAATAGTCAGGGTATCGATGATTATGTGAATAAATGAATGTTAATAGTCTATATGTAGAGCAGGCAAACAAATTAAATCCATATTATTTAAGACTAGTCCATATCCATTGGTAGCTTTGTCACCTTCTACCTATGCCAATCCTCAATGCCTATGTGCAGTTTCACATAGATTGACCACGTCAGTGAGTAGGAAAACGTGGGACATACAGAATGACTGACTGACAGAATGACACACTGACAGTTTCCGTCATTATTTACAGCATACCATACCATGACTTAGTCATACCAAAAATTAGAAAAACAAACAAACACTCGGCCACAGGGGGAGCCACAGCGATCGGTCGCATTTTAGACATTTTTAAGCATTTTTCTGTTGTTATAGCGCCACCCAGTTGCCAATTAGAGTTAAATTTCTCCAGTCACCTTGAGGCATCCTATTCTACATATCTATTAAGTTTAGTAAAAATCGATATGGCGGTTAGGCCTAGATAAGAAATTAGCTCTCTAGCGCCCCCATTTTGTTTGATCGGGTCAATAATGGAGGGGGCCCCTCAGATTATGTGTGCCTACAAAGTTGCGTGGTGATGGGTGAAACCCTTGAGATGTTATACACCTTTATGTGATGAGCCACACCCTCCGCAATATTCATTGCCTTATAGAAGCTCAGTTTTAAGTTTTCCAACTTTTGCCAAGAGGGAACTTTAGATATTGGTCCCTAGATTATGTTCACCCAGTTTCATGCAGATCGGTCAAACTTCCTAGGAAGAGATCGATTTTAAGTGTTTTTCTAAAAAATCAAAATGGCGGAAAATCTATATAACCAGAAGTTACGGTTTCTTGTGGCAAATGTGTTCCTCATGAGGAGAGGCATCTCTGTGCAAAGTTTCATGTCTCTACGACATACGGGGCATGAGATATGCCCATTCAAAGTTTGCAATTTCAGTCGGTTGCTATAGCGCTCCCCTTTGGCCAATTGATGTAATATTGCTTCATTCGCATCCTCCCATGACCCTCTACCACTGTGCCACATTTCACATGGATTGACCACGTCAGTGAGGAGAAAAACGTGGAAAAGAGACACAGACAGACACACCCACAGACAGAGTTTTCGTCATTATATAGTAAGATACAACTTAAATTTATTCTGTACACATTTGTGTTTAAAACTACACCAAAACAACAGAACAACAAGGACAACACATGAATAGACACTCTGAACTCGATGATAAATCCTGACCATGTACTCACCATAGTGGTCATTCCCTGCAAAACCAAGGCAGAAAACATGGTGCTGTAGCCCCACAAAAATTATAATTATAATCCACTGCTTGCCTGAAACCAGACATCATTTGCTGGAAGTTCAGGCCTGGATTGTGAGTCAGCTGGAGCTCAGTGGGCTAAACCAGAAACCATCAGAGTCGAAACAGTAATCAAAGATGTGGTGTCAGATACATAGTCATAGTTAAACTTCATAATTCATTCATTAATTCATAACTTCATTATTATTATAATTACTAGACTAATTAAAACAGATCCGACTAACATAAGCCAGGTGACAGCCAATGGTGTAAGAAGTATTCAGATCCATATAAATACCACGAATTAAAGTCAAAGTATGCAGGCGTTAATCACCAGATGAACTCAATGTATCAGAAGTAAAGGTAGGAGAACACAGCTCAGTATCCCCTGTCAGTGTTAAAATTATAGATTATATTATTAAATTAATATTGCTTGTGCATTAATATGTGAGTATTATTAGTTAAACCTAGGAGCTGGAGAGGAGAGGACTCACGATATGATACTATCATGACTAAAGCTACCTCCGGCTGGTGGCATGTAAGTTGAGCCCTCATGTTGGTAGTATTCCCAGAGTATTTTATTCTCACATGGCACTGCTTGCAAATTGCATGTGTCATATCCAGTTCCTTCATTCCTTCTGTGTTAAAGAATTCCCAACAAGTCCAGACTTTTTATTTAAACGCCGACAGCTCATTTCTGATTTCTGATATGCCTCCATCTTTGTTTTGAATAACTTCCGGCCAAATGCCGCTGAGACCTTCGCTGACCTTACCAGGAAAAAAATATCAGCACCATCTAGTGCACCGAAAAAGCAATTGATTTTATTATTCTGGTACCAAAAGTTGTATCAAAATATGTATTTGCAAAAATGAATGATGTATATAATAAAAGATCGATACTTGACGACCGTTTATCGATGCAATATTGCCACGTAAAATATCGCGATACTATGCTGTATCGATCCCCCCACCCCGAGTTTTACTTAAATATTTTGTATTATTGTTTATTCTAAGTAAAAACCTCTTTTATTTAATTACAGCCCCAGCCGTCACATAAATGTAGTGGAGAAATGTGCACATTTGCTGCTTAACTGTAATTAAGACGAAGTGTAAAGTAGCTTAAAATGGAAATGCTCAAGTAACGTACACATACTCAAATTAGTATTTAAATACTTGTTATATTCCATCACTGCTGCACTACTGCATATCTTTATTTTCATCAAATGCTGGTTAATACAATAAAACAGTTTCTCATTTAATCAGAATGTTCTGTTGTAACACTGGATACATATTATAGCATTACACAACTGTAGTGATATTCATAAAACAAAGAATTTAGGGTAAGGATTGTATTCGTTGGCAACCAGGTGATTGTAAGTTCATTATTCACTCTATTTTCAGCTCTGTTACTGGTCTCCACCTCCTTTGAGAAATGTTTAGTGTTGTGTTTAGTATCTGGGGCATGAAATTGACATGTTTGCATAAGCTGTAGAAATTCCCATGTCATATGATTGAAAGAAAAGAGAAGCTAATAAATAGACCATGCAGTGAGTGAGATTACATGATATGTGTGATGACGTGTTTAGCTGCAGTTTATTGTGTTATTCTCTTCACACAGAGATCCTCTTCTGGTAATGCCTGGTGTTTTCGAGAAATACACTTTTTCAATGTCCGGCACAGAGTTACACGAGAACATAAACGTCACTCTCATCACTGTCTATTAAACAGGAAGCTAGAGCCAGCAGCTGGTTAAACAGACAGACTGAGCAGGAACCGGGAAACAGGGGGAAACTGTCAGCTTTGCTCTGCTCCCATAGCCTGATGACTTGAACTCTTTGTGTCAGTCTGGACTCAGTTCCACCCTAAACACTTTCCAGAAATTGATTAAATTCCACTCTGGGCCAATCAGGAATCTGCAACGTAAGCAGCCAGTCAGGGACTGCGTTGTACGGTAGTTGCCGTCTGCAGCTTGCAGAACAGTAATGGCGGCTGCTGAAGCGGCAAGAGCCAACTCCGACGTTAGTAAACACAGCAATAAGTGAAGCTAGTAGAAACAGACTCAATAGCAACAATTAAATAAGAACAAGAGTACGCACTCGCTGAGTTTCTCAGAGGAAAAGATGTTTTGTTTTTCTTCCGTCCGGATTTGATACACTATATGGACACAAGTATTTGGATGCCTGACTATTACACCAATACGGGCAGTATTTCTGTGGGAATTTGTGCCCAATCATTATGCAGAGATTTATGCGGTAAGGCACTGATGTTGGGCAAGAAAGCCTGGCTCGCAATCACCATTCCAGTTCATCCCAAAAGTGCTCGATGGGGTTGAGGTCTGTGTGGGGAAGCCAAGTTCTTTCACACCACTCCATCAAACCATGTCTTAGTATAGTCCTTGCTTTGTGCACTGGGGAACAGTCATGTTGGAATAGAAAAGGGCCTTCTCTGAACTGTTGCCCCTCACTGGAGATAAGGGCCGGAAAAACTGACCCATACTATTATCTCTCCTCCACCAAACTTCACAGTTGGCACAACATTCTTTCGGCATCCGCCAAACCCAGACACGCCCATCTGACTGCCAAATAGAGAAGTGTGATTCATCACTCCACAGAACACATTCCCACTGCTCCACAGTCCAGTGTCGGTGTGCTTTACTCCACTCCATCCGACGCTTGGCATTGGACTTGGTGTTGTGAGGCTTGCATGCAGCTGCTTGGCCATGGAAACTCATTCCATGGAGCTCCCACTGCACAGTTTACGTGCTTACATTAATGCTAGTGGAAGCTCGCAATTCTTCAGCAGAGCGTTGGTGACTTCTAGGCACCATGCACCTTAGCAGTCGTTGAACCCGCTCTGGGATTTTACGTGGTCTTCCGCTTTCAACTTTCTAATAATATTATTGACAGTTGACCATGGAATATCCAGCAGGGACGAAATTTCACGAACCATCTTATTGCAAAGATGGCATCCTATCACAGTACCACGCTTGAACTCAATGAGCTCTTCAGAACGACACATTTTGTATCACATTTTGAGACTGCATGGCTAGGTGCTTGATTTTATACACCTGTGGCAACGGGTCTGATTGAGACACCTGAATTTAATGATTAACTGGTGTGGCCAAATACTTTCCATGTAGTGTCCATACAGTGTATATCAACTGGCTGTGTCGGTGATAAAGATGTTCTTACTGTAGGTGTTTTGATACGCTGATTGACTTAAAGAGATAGTGCACCCAAAAATGAAAATTCAGCCATTATCTACTCACCCATATGCCGATGGAGGCCCTGGTGAAGTTTTAGAGTCCTCACATCCCTTGCGGAGATCGGCGGGCGGAGCGGCTAGCACACCTAATGGCAGACGGCGCCCCAGACTAACGTCCAAGAACACAAAATTGAATCCACAAAGTATCTCCATACTGCTCATCCGTAGTGATCCAAGTGTGCTGCAGCCCCGACATAAAAAGTTTTGAAAAATGTCATTTGATTTGTTTTTAGCCTCACTGTAGCCTGTAGCTCTGACTGCTTCTCTGTGCGCCGCGTTCACTTGTGCACGCCTGCGTGAGACCAGCGAAAGCATGAACTTTGCTCACCCATGTTTACATCACGTGACACGTGCACCGCAGGGGGAGACAACAGTAACCACAGAGCTAAATGATAATTTGCACTACGGTCTTTTAGAAAAGGACAGCCCAACATGTCTGAAGACTTTGAAATTGAGGAACAACAGCATTTCTTTGTTGAGCCGTATTTGTTTGAGCCCGAGTATACGGACGGAACTCAGGCTACTGGACGAAGCAGCCGCCGTAGCTCATGAGCCTCAGCCAGCCGCAGAATACCGGAGTCGAGCACTGGAAACCTGGTGGTGTAGTTGTTTCAAATGCAAAGCAATGCCAATGTCTTTGCTGCTCAGACTGGGAATTGGCGATGCCTGCACTTGAGAATCTGGACATCAGTACTGACGAGACTGCTGCTCTTCAGAGACCGTGCATCACCGATCACCCTGAGTGCGCACATGTGAGCGTGGAGCACAGAGAAGTAGTCGGAGCTACAGGCTACAGTAAGGCTAAAAACAGAGTTCAAATGACGTTTTTCGAAACAACTTTTTATGTCGGGGCTGCAGCACACTTGGATCACTACAGATGAGCAGTATGGAGATACTTTGTGGATTCAATTTTGTGTTCTTGGACATTAGTCTGGGGCGCCGTCTGCAATTAGGTGTGCTAGCCGCTCCACCCGCTGATCTCCGCAAGGGATGTGAGGACTCTAAAACTTCACCAGGGCCTCTATCGACATATAGGTGAGTAGATAATGGCTGAATTTTCATTTTTGGGTGCACTATCCCTTTAAGGTGTTCGTTTGTCAAGGCGAGTACTTCCGCCCACTGAAAGTATTTGGGACGACAGCAAGTCCAGACTGATGCAGAGAGCGGAACAGAATGTTGAGCCCACATTATTAGGGTGGCCTTACCAGGCTACTGCTCCCTGCCAAGAAATAAGCCAGCTCATAATCTCATGTAAAGTTGCAAAATGTCACCTTTCTCTTCAGTTGTTGTACAGATTTAACAAGGATATTCAATATCCTTTCAATTTTATTTATAAAGCTCTTTATCACAAGTCACAGTTGCCAAAAGAAGAAGGAAGCTATGAGTGCTGAAATGAGGAATATCCAAAAATTAACTGGTTTGAGCTGGCTAAGCACAAAGACGCTGTCAGTGACTAACACAGAAGCTCTGGAAATTACTCCAACACGCTTACCACAGGTCAGAGTAACCAGAGACAGAGATATAACGTGTTATCTGGTGAGCTTTAGAGGTGCTGGTATGCAGATCTTGGTTAAGTGAAGCAACACAACAAGGTCAGAGGCATAAAAGCAACAAGCCTGTCTTTCAAGAGAATTAGTTTTGGCACAATTCTTTACAGTTTGCAACATTTTTCTGGCCTATTACTGTATTTATTTAACTGTCCATTTCATGCTTAGCCTTGTTTGTCTGTTTCAGAATCAGCCAGCCGATGCCTCAGTCTGCTGTCAAAGTAGAAGGCGCAACACTGCAGCTTCTAAGCATGACCTCCAACCTGAATGGCCTCTACCAGTGTGAAGCATCAAACCTTTACGGCAGTGAACACAGTCACCTCTATGTGCATGTAAATTCGGGTAAGGGTAGGTTTGATTTAGTTGTGGGTTCTTCTCAAATGTGGCGGTGTTTTTGCATGTGTTTATGCTCTGTGTTTTTGTATTTGAGTCTGTTGTGGATGCTCTTTGATTCTGTTATTTCTTTTGTGTCTCGTAATTTAAAAAGAAAAAAGAAAAGATGGCAACAGTTGAATTTCTGTGACAAGTTAAAGCTATGGACTCCTACAGGGAAGTTTGGACATCAAGGCCTGGAGCACTTTTGTAGCAACATTCCTCCTGGGTTCCTCCCTAAAGGAAAGGTCAACTTGGGACACACTGGAGACTGGATATCCCACTTAGCCTTGGAATGCTCTGGGTTGGGCTTAGGAGCTGACCTGGCTGCTGCGGCCTGTTGCTACTGTAACCCAGAGGATGCTACCGAACAAGAGGAGGATAACGGCTTACAAACAAATTACTAAGTCTATGAAAACTACTGCTCAAAAACTTGCAGCATGTCTTTTCTTGTGCAATGCTTTCTGTCATGGTCATTTCATTTGTCTGTTTCTTAAGTAACTCAGGACCTGTCAGGACAAGAAAAAATATCAATAACAGTCAGTAGTGGCGTAGTTCTTTGGTGTTTGAATGCATTGTGCAATATGAAACTAAATGCTATGAAACAGAGAAAAACAGTACATGTTAGTATAGCATTTAAGACAAAAGAAGGAAAACACAAACACAGAAGCCTGCCTTCATGACTAAATGACGTTAAGAGATTTCTTTCATAGCAGGTGTTTTGGCTTGTCGTAGCAGGAAAAGCTTCTCTGCCCTGGTGTAATTGAGAACGTTGAAATGGTATGAAATCCATTTAGGCAGTCTTAAAAAAACAATAACTTCAATTGAATAATGACACCATCCGCATCACCGTCGGTGGAGTCCCTCCCCTTCCAGTGACCCCCATGGGTACTAATTTTAGGAAAAAATATGTACAGAAGTCAACGGTGAAAGACAAATCATTTTTCGATTGCTTTGAATTTTGCTATGAATTACACATATGATGTTTGTCAATTTAAAAGATATTTTTTTGAGTCAAGAAAGTCTCAGTTTGTCGTCAATTTGTCATGGAACAATTTAGTTTTGTTCAGTCATTTCCGTAACGGCTTATCCTGTTAGGTGTCGCAGGTTGGCTGGACCCTATCCCAGCTGACATTGGGCGACAGACAGTGTATCACACACAACACACAGAGACAGACAGCTCAATTCAGTTTCAATTTTAATTAATAAAGCCCAGTATCACAAATCACAATTTGCCTCAGAGGGCTTTACAGTATACGACATCCCTCCATCCTTAGGACCCTCGCAGCGGATGAGGAAAAACTCCACAGAAAAAAAACCCTTTAACGGGGAAAAGATATGGTAAAAACCTCAGGAAGAGCAACTGAGGAGGGATCCCTCTTCCAGGACGGACAGACGTGCAATAGATGTCGTACAGGACAGATCAACATAATAAATTTACAAGGATCCATACAACAAAATGATACATAGAGAGAGAGAGATGCAGGACAGACAGTAATGACAGTAGCTTACAACATTAATTTAAGTAATAATATAATAATAATTAAGGCTATTGTGGTACAATATGTTGTAGGTCAATGTTAATATATGATAGTATATGTATGTGACAATAATAATAATCATATTTGTATAATAACAGTAGAAGTATGACTAATGATAGCAGCAGCAGCAGGAGGCATCTGGCAGGACCATGGCAGCAGCACAACCACACACGTCACACTATCCAGGCACTGCTGTGATATAAGTTAACCTGCGAGACAGTGGAGCACAAAGGCTCCGGAGAAGAAGCCGGGTTAGCAAGATGCAATAACACAAGACATGAGTGTTAGCAAAGCAGAGAGAGAGAAGGAGAGAAGGCGCAGTGTATTATAGGAGGTCCCCCGGCAGACTAGGCCTAAGTCAGCCTAACTAGGGGCTGGTCCAAGGCAAGCCTGAGCCAGCCCTAACTATAAGCTTTATCAAAGAGGAAAGTCTTAAGTGTAGTCTTAAATTAGGAGACAGTGTCTGCCTCCCGGACCGAAACAGGAAGATGATTCCACAGGAGAGGAGCCTGATAGCTGAAGGCTCTGGCTCCTGATCTACTTTTGGAGACTTTAGGGACCACGAGTAACCCTACCTGCATTCTCAGAGGGCAGTGTTCTGGTGGGATAATATGGCACTATGAGCTCTCTAAGATACAACGGACCTTGACCATTTAGAGCTTTATAAGTTAGGAGAAGGATTTTAAATTCAGTTCTAGATTTTTAGACAACCATTCATGCTCACATTCACACCTACAGCCAATTTAGGGTCACCAATTTACCTGGCCGAAGCACCCGAAGAAAACCCGTGCTGACGTGGAGAACATGCAAACTCCACACAGAAGGGCTTGCTCACCCCAGGGTTCAGATCTCCCACCCTGGATTCAAACCGGGAACAATCTTGCTTTGAGGCGACCATGCTAACCACCACTGTGCCACTTTCGTTTAGTGTTGTGTAAATCTTCATCTTACCTGACATGTTTTATCCCATGAAGTGAAAGAATGAGCGAGACCCATTGCCTCTGTGAGTATATCCCAGTACTAAACGCACAAGCATTGTAGCTTCAGCGAGCTAGGAGGTATAGCTGCAGCTGTAGCGGCTACTTAACCCGCTCATGAGCTGCATGACTCACCCACCATAACCTACACATCAGTCCACAATCAGCCCCCTTTGTTCCCCTGGAAACATAAGTCCTGATGAAAACTGCTATGTTAGCATTTAGCTAGGGTGACCATATTTTGTTTTCGAAAAAGAGGACACTCGGCCGGCCACGACATAGCCTACTTAAATGATACTCGCAGTTTACTCAAAGATGCCTTATAATTTTAATATATTTAAAGTTTATATGTATGGATAGAATATTCAGTTATATTACAAAATAATATCTCTCAAAGACAGAAATTCAGATAGGCCCCTATAGATGGGACACACACACACTAGAGTGTGGCTACCCGATCCGAGCCCGATGGGTCCTGATGGGTCGGGCTAGGTTTGGTCAAAAATGTATAAATTATATTCGGGCTCGGGTCAGATTCGGTCAGCTTTCAGTGAAAATGTAGTGTAAAAATAAATAAAATCCTATTGTCTGTCCTGTTTATTGCTTGGGGACTGTTATTTACGTAACAACACCTGAACAGAACACACACACACGTTGGCTGTTTGTTTCTACCTCTCCCCTCGCTGGAAGCCTCGGACCTCCCGCCGCCAGCCTCCGCCTTGATTAAACGCTGAAAATAAAATAAAAGAGGGAGACAGGTTTTCCTATTTTATTTTATTTTGTTATATTTCTCCCTCTCCCCTCGCTGGAAGGAAGTTCGCTGCATAGATCAGCCTCTCATTGGGCGGAACGAGCCACCCGCTGAAGTCCCGCCCTACCACCTCCGGTTGTGTAGCAGTTTTCAACCGTTTTCAACACGTCCTTTACTAACTTTTGCGGTCTTTGATCTTGCGGGGATGTAGCCATTTTTCTGCCATGGTTCACGTCCTGTAGGCGATATTTTTGTGGGCGTGTCAAACCAAAGCCTGTTTCCCCTGGCAATATTTTTGCAAGCGCACCGTTGCTGTGGCACCGCCCAGAACGATTGTGATTGGTTGAAAGAAATACAAGCAGCCAGGGCGTTTTTTTTTTCTCCAATCTTAAAGTGAGAGTCGGCCCAGCCAGTCTGGTGAGCGAGACTAAGGTAATGGTAATGGGAAGGGTCGCATTGTTTCTTATAAGGTGAATCACGGCCGCATTTATCATTTGTTATAAAGTGGATTATTGCCACTCTTGGCGTCATATTTGTTCATTACAACTTTGTGTCGTAGCAGGGTTCAAATAACTGTCATGTTGGTTGGTTTATCTTGTATTAGTGGTGGGCACAGTTTGAAGGTGAGTGACATGCATACTTCAAACGTAATGTGTCTGCAGCTGTACATGTCTTAGCAAGAGGGACAGTTATGACATCACCCACACGACTTAGGCAGTCACTCTAATTCCATTTTTTTAGTCTTAGACTTCAACAGTTTTACGAAGTGTGACTTTCTTGACTTGCAAAATTATCTTTTGAAATTGATGAACATCATGTGTAATTCATGACGCAGTTCAAACAGGTAAAATAAAATTACTAGTCTCTCCCCATTGACTAACGTACATATTTTTTTTCTGAAACAAGAACCCATGGTGGCCCACTGGAAGGAGAGGGGCATCACTTTCAGTATTCAATTCTATCTGCCACCAGGTGCAATTTCCCAGGAAAATGAAGGCTCGATTTATGCCACAAAGGAAGTAAGTTAACTAATGTGCAACCAAAACAGGAAGAGGGAAACGCTTTTGTTTTCCCTGGTAGCTATTGGTAGCTATCCAAAGTTACCAAAGAGTAACAGTGTAAGTTCTTTGCAGTTACTAACCACAGTAGTGGACATAGTGGATGATGGAACAACCAGAGTAGCCTGCATGTGTGTCTCATGTTGTCAGTAGAAAACCTTTGGAAAAATTTGTAAGCATTTAAAAAATACATTCGAATATGCACACTGTGAGCTTTAAAGAATCTGACTCCATTATCAGTAAGTGAATGATGGCCAAGATGCACACTGAAACTCAACCAGTCCATCAACTGATCTGTTGTAACTTAATCCGGGTATTTTTTCCTCTCCAGTTCCCCCCACTTATTAAAACCCAGAGCTCCTAGATTCATGAAATCTGGTTTGACTCCTTAAGGAGCTGAGACACCGCTCAGTCAAAACAGACTTAGGTTAAGCTTTAAATTGGGATTCATTGCAGGGCTGTTGTACTGGCAGTGTATATCAGTATTTGATGTTATTGTATTCTGTGTTTTGTCTCCCTGCAGGAGCCTGCACTGCTTGTTGGACCATTTTAATTATTCTGCTTATCCTGATTGCCTTTGGTGCCGCTGCAGCATGGTACTATTATAAATATAGGAAATTTCCAAGGTACTACACTCACTCATATACAGTATTTCTGCTAAGTATATAAACATACACTATGTTAATCTATTGTTATGTTTTGATGGATAACCAGGATGGTAGAGTGGATACGTAGGGAGAGGCAGCAGGTCCCAACAGACTCACCTAGACATGATCAAGGAGTATCATTAGAAGCAGAGGAACGACGGGCAGCACAAGAAGTAAGATGTATAATATTTGACTTACCACAGTGCATTCTGGCTGTTTTTTATTACCCTCATGGTCAAATCTGTGTGCCTTTTTTGTAACAATATAAAGTACAACAGCTATCTTAATTGTTACAGTATTGCAGCTGTTTTCTAGTAAAATGTCTTCTTTAAATGTTCGTTCAGCAGACCTTGAAATTAAGTGCTTGATTTTAATAAAATGTTTTGAATTATTTGCCTTAGGAATCTCACTTCCCGGCATCCCCGTAAGCAACAAGATGGAAGACAACCGTGCTGTAGCCGGTTTACAGGATTAACTGCTCAAATGTGTCATTCTGACTCAGCGGGTTAGTGAACAGATGCAGTGTCCAGGTGCTAGCAACAGCCATCTAGCATACAAGGCAGTTTCCTGATGGACCAACATTCCATGGGGCTGACATAATGACACATTTTTTTTTTCTTTTCTTTGACCAGCCAATAATACAAGAAGTCAGGCCCATTGATATATTTTCTTTATCAGTACTGGGCTGTCCCTAATTACATTTTTAATTTCTAAAAATCTAAAATTACTATCAACCTTGGCCCCGTTTCCCAGAGCCTTAGTAGCGCTATGTGCATCGTAAGTTTTATCTTAAGGTCTCCCTTAAGCTTACGGGCTGTTTCCCAGAGTCTCCTCAGTTAAGATATATCTTCTGAAAGGTACAGTATATCTTAAGAAAGGTGGTCTGCAGTGATGGAAAAAGAGAGACAAACACGTATGCTGTTATAAATATTTCAATAACAAATGCATTATCAGTGAGCAGCAATCACATTTCTCTGCTTCAGCATTAGTCTCCTTGTTTATAACGGAATGCGCATGTAAGTCATTTTTTAATGTGATATGCTTCAGGCGTATTAGGAATGGGATTTTTCCTGAAACAGTGCCAAAACGCTCGCCTGGACGGAAATTTAGTTTAAAAGCGCTGCTTTTAAAAAATACCAGTCTATGTGTGGACTAGGCTTCAAATAGATGAGCAGATGTTCTGTAGAAGGCATAGCCTTATTTATGATATAATATTTGATGGAGGTAAAATTATTATGGCAATACTTTTTATATTATGTCATTAATTTACCTTCATATGAGATAATACACTTCCAGCACTGTGGTGAAGGCCAGCTCTAACTCATGAAGTACCTTAGCAGCTCTCCTTACGAGCACCCGCTAAGGGACAGTTTGGGAAACACCTGTGGGAAAGGAAGTTCCTAAGCTAAGGTATATCTTAGAGACCCTCGTAGAATGCTAAAGTATGTCGAAACTGGGAAACGGGGTCCTGGACTTTTCACACCCTTTAACCAACATGCTGGCTGCTCAGTGCAGACAATGAAGTGCAGGGATGCGGGAAATGAAGTGTCTGACGCTCAAAAGAGAGCCCCAGAACCCCTCTTTAACATGTGTCCCCTCATGTTATATACTATAAGACTTATTTGTGTGATTGACTGAGGTGGGCCGGTCTGAGCTATAATGCCAGGGCCAGTGCTAGTGCCAGTTTGTCCTGGTCCACTTCTGCTACTCAATAATATGTATGTCTTTTGTCAACTAATCTATAAAGTGTTATTCAGCAGTAAATATTGCAAACAGTAAGTAGAGCTTTCAAGCATATATGGGTGCATTACAAAAACTGGATTGAAAGTAGAAGTGTAGTCAACAGACTTTTATCTGTGGTGTTATCTATGTAGAATGTCGCAGCAACCGTTGGCAATTGCTTTATCATTAACAGCTCTAACAGTCATGATACTTCCCCTCTGTAGCCCACACCAACACCAACACCAACAGCATCAGAACGGCTGATAATGATGGAGCATTATGAAGCTTGTATGCATGCACACAAGAAATTACATTACTGGCCAAGAAATTGTCACATTTCTCTTGTGTTTACCTTAATTGCATCTAAATTGGGAGATGTGTTTTTATTTTTTGTTTTACCTAAAGGGACAGTTCACACCCAAATTAAAAAATATGTATTTGTTTTTATCTTACCTGTAGTGCTGTTTATTAATCTAGATTGTTTTTGTGAGAGAAGGCAGACATCTCAACGGCCGATATCTTCAGCACTTGGCAACTCACACCAAAACAATCTATACTGATAAATAGCGCTACAGGTAGGAGGGGAAAACTGTCCCTCAGAGTACACTTGCAGTGCTGATATTTTTGTGGGCGTATCCCAGTATAAGTACCTGATAGTGTTTACAGTGACACTGTAGTCTTGAACTGCTTTAACCTCTGATGGCTAGCTGTCACACAAATCTATCCTGAGAGCCACTGAAGAGGACATGCATTAGTCTGTATAATATTGCACTGATACTATACACGTATGCAAAAAAATAATGAATGTTGAGTGGTTACAGAAGCACATGTTACTTTGCCAAGCCCCCAAATGATTTATTTATTCCAGCACTTAACTCAAAAAACTCTTGAATTTAAAAATTCAATGCCAATATATTTGTCTGAAGGTACAATTACACAGAACATACACTATCTATCTATCACTGCTATGAGTTGAAACATTATAACTAGAGTATTCTGCCACTATCTACTGCATGCTATCATACAAAGTAAAAATACCAAAAAATATTATGCTCTATTTTAGAATTCCTTCTACAGCTGTATTTGCGCGTTATCAGTTATCACATGTTTTTTGTTTTTGTTTTAGTTGTTATCTTTTGTAATAACAAATGTCAGCAGAGCTTTCTTTTATCTTTAGTCCACATCAGTTTCCATCTGTTGTGTTCAGAGATTTACAGTTATGGGTAAACACATCAAAAACAGACTGAACTCAAAGCCAGTGTTTCAATTTCGTGTTCAAGGTCAGAATGAAGGTCTGTGTTTCAAATGTTTAATTCTGTAATGTAAAAAGTTGCATACGCATCTCTGTCTTCAAAATGTGCCGTACACTCCTGTTAGCCTCACTTGTTCTTGTATCTCAACTTTGCTGACTATTTCAGAAAAGAAACAAACATCCGGGTCCACAGCGGGCGTTTGCCTGTTAAACCATGCCTCACTCTTACCTCAGTATAAGTGTGTTGGACCTAAGCATTTTGTGTTAGCAGCACTGTGAGCCTGTATTTAATGCTAATTTCAGTATACTAACAAGATCACTATCACAATGACAAAACACTGGACATTATGCTTACCATGTTTGCTGTCTTACAGTCTGCTGAAATTTTAAATGACCAGAACACACAACGTATAAAGTTATCTACTGACCCTTATTGCAATTCCTGAAGCCATGCTGCTAAAGAGGTATTTTTAATTTGCCATCAATCGAATTGCTTTCAAGACAATTAATAGCACTGGAGGAAACATTTGGGGGGTAGAGGATATTTAGACCAGATTTTGTACATAACCCATGTAATCACAATCACGTGATGAATGCATTAACGGAAGTATAAAATGAAGTTGTATAAAGAGTCCCTGTCAGGAGGTAGGTTGGGATGGTGGATGGGTCAAACAAACACAACTTTCCCCCAGGAAGTCAGTGTTCGTGTCCCATGTGAAACCAAGTGAACTACTCTAAACTATTTCTAAAATAAAATAGGATAGAAAACATATTAAGCGTACTGAAAATGTTGCCCAGCAAGCCGAAACTAGCGCTGTAGCACTAGTTTCGGCTTGCTGGGCAACCGATGGAGCAGCCGGCTGTGGGGAACTTTATGCCCCCTTTTTTGAACCCATTAGCTCTGCGGAGCTGTGTCGTCTGTGCTGCAAAGTGTCCCAAACCCGGGAAGCTGGCCACAGAGTAGACTCACAAGTCAGTCTTTAGACACTTTGCTTAACTAAAGACTGATGTCTTTCTCCCTGATTTTGTGTTTAGATGGGCGGATACAATTTCAGAGTTTAAAAAAACTCCCTACGTTGCAGAACCAATAGTAATTCCGCAGGGCGGTCCTTCGGTGGCTCACTGAACTCTTGTGCTCGTAAACATAGTCCGACTGCGTTAAAAGTTTTAAACAAAGTTGCTGTAAGTGCTTCATTTCCACAATCTTGTGGACTGAGCACACGTTTGATAAAACGGAGTTAAATCTCTGGGCATCCATTTTCAAGCTCTCTGTGTGTTTGTGTCCTTGCGGACGAGAAAAGGGGGAGTGCACATTTCCGGGAGGGCGTGTCCTTTTCAAAAATGCAAGAGGCGTTGCTTTGTTGCCGGCCGTTTTCTCTGGTGTGTTAAGCACACTTTACAAAGGAGTGTCCCCAGACTATCAGAAGGCGGAGATGTCTGATTGTCTGGTGGCGAGACTATCTGAACCCAGTGTTCTCATGCAGGAGCGCTGGTAGGTACTGAAAATTGGCACCAAGTGATTAACACAAATCTGTACTTGGTAGTATCAACTTAATTCAGTCAATACCATTAAAAATATAAAGTTCGGTACCCAACCTGACCTACATAACATTACATTAAATGCGTAACGTAACATTGTCCTAAACCTAACTTCTGTTTACTTCGGTTTACGTTGCTAAACCCAACCTACGTAACTTTATGTTAAGTGTGTGCCGTGTTAACACCCATTCGTGATTCTTTTCCTAAACCTAGCGGTAGCAGCACTAATGCATGATATGTTATGTAGAGACATATGTTTTATCTTCCTGACTAAACCAACATTCTTAGAGTTTCAGTCATATGTAGCTAAATTCACTCTTCTTGACTTTAGTCACACTTGTATGAAGATCTTTTTTATTGTAAACCTGAAATTTTGGTTTAGTATCCCCCAGTCACTCTGGGTAATGCATAGTAAGTAGATTAGTGATCTCCTGGAGTAGTCCTCTTTAATCAAGGCAACATGGCAAGACAATAAACACCTCAGTCTCTCAGGAGACACATTACACTCCTCTATTTTAGTTGTTACTGTTACACTCTCTAATGTAGATATCCTTTTCCACAATTTACTTCATCAAAATGTTGCAACGTATAGTGCTATTTGTGGTCAAAGCTCTTCAGGGAACCTTTAAAGCAATAAACTGAAGGTGCCTTAAATGTCATCTCTCTTCAACAAGCATTCACTGCCAGACAGCTACTGTAGCAGAGTCACAACCACACATCCAAGTAACATCACACAGCTATTTTTTTCATGTTGTCCAAAGTTATCATGGAATATGTTTATCTTGATGAATAAACAAACAAACAAGATAATGCAGTGCTGTTTTGTCTACTGAAATTGAAACTTGCGTGCCAATTGATTGTTGATTTGATTGTACCTAATCAAAGGCCACTTTAGTAATAAGGCACATTTTAAAAACCAAAACAAATCAAAATGCTTTATAAAGTGGAAAAAACGAAATCAAAAAGTGAAAAATAATCTATGATGCCAAATTATGTAAGAACTCCTTCATACAAAGATGCAGTATAATACTAAAATACTAAAATGTGCCAAAAAAATATATATATATTTTTTAAATTAATACAAATTTGAAAACAATCTAATGATATATAAAGGGAACTTCACCAGTTTTACAAGGCAAATTCTGTTAACAGGTGTATAAGGGAGTGCTACTGCGTACTGTATGTGAAAATGTTTTATAAAGCCTTTATTTGGCTGCTGAGGGAGCTCAGTGAAGTCTCGTAACGTTTAGACTGAAGTGATCTTATCTTATCAGACCTCTGTAGCCCGCTTCTCATCTCTGTTTTAGGCAATCGGCTCAAAGCTACGTCAGCTGCTGTCATCATAACACACCCAAATCTACAACCAAAATTATGTCAACACACAAGTTGTGCCGTGGGTGATGTAGGTGCAAGGCACAAGTAAAGCAAGTTAGAAGAATGAGTAGAATAAAAAGACGATGGCTGTGTTTGGAATTTCATACTAATATACAGCCTACTACATGCTCATTATGCTCATCTATTGCATGCTGCCTACTAAATGAACATTTAAGTATTTCATTACTGACAGAGTGTTAAGTAAAGGCAGTGGTTCCCAACTTGGCAAGGTCCGCACAGTTTAATATATTCAGCATACTTGTGTTTGGCCATGTCGTTGAGCTAGTTTGCTGTCTCTGTCATGTGGCTGTCCATTAGTCACTCACTCTATGGCAAGAAATGGCACTTCAAAACAAGAGCCATGCGCCAGAAGTTCACTGTACTTCAAAATAACTAGGGCTGTAGTCTCCTGGTCGACTAGTCGATTATTTGGTCGATATGCTCTCGACTGACCAAATTCTCATTGGTCGAGTAATCACCGTGTTACTTTCATAAGGGGAAAAGTGCTACATCAATAGGTTTCCAGGATTAATCCATTATTTCCTGCGGCGGGGGGGGGGCAGGCTAAGTTACCTGTGAAAATGGCAGTGTTTTCAAAACACACCCAATATTGACAGAAAGTTGAACTCACCTACAGTACGCTCAGCATCGCGGTGACGCAAACCTCCTGTCAGTTTCTGTATACTGACACCATTTCCATCAGTGGAAACAAAGCTTGTAGCCTATTTACTTGTATTTCACAGATAAGAAACAATAAATTGTGAAGACAGTAAAGCCTCCACTAAAATAGCATTTTTAAGTCGTGTGTGTGATTTATCATGTAGGGATTTATACCTTGGAATTTATTCTGGCTACATATGAGCAGAGCAAATCTCTGCTCGTCGCTAGGCTAATTTACACAATGTAAAATGCCATAGGCTGGCGCTAATAACGTTAGCATGTTGTATTTGCTTGGAAAACGTGTTTAGTATAAGACAGTTGTTTTGTTAGTGAATCTTGTGAGTTGTAATGGAGCCAAATTATGTGCTATTACCTTTGTTACATATTGCTGTTGTCCCTGGTTTTATATGAGAAGAGGAAAGATCACTAGACGCTAATTTATACAATGTAAAATGCCATAGACTTATGCTAATAATATTAGCATGCTAATTTATACAATGTAAAACGCCATAGACTTGTGCTAATAACGTCAGCATGTTCTATTGGTTGGGGAAATGTGTCCAGATAAAGACAAGTGTTTGTCTGTCAATTCTCCGACTTATAGTGAAGCCAATTCGTGTACTTGTGTTTGAAATTGTCTCTTTTAAGCCATGTTTAATGTGTGTTTTGAAACAACTAAACTTTACAGCACCTAACACAGTCCTCCACCGCCGACTAGTGTTTTGGAGGTGTAACTGCAGAGTGACACAGACACACCACTGCAGAAGTAAAAATAATGTGCAGATTTTTCCCCCCACAACTAATAGATTAGTTGAAGATTATGTACGACTTTAGTTGACAAAATTTTTGTCTTTGGTTGACTACAGCCCTAAAAATAACAAGTTTGTTTTTTACAAACTTGACAAGTTCGCGACACAAGATGTACTTACGAATTATGACGGACAACTGGTCTGACCCAGCCACTGCTCTCACATTTCTCTAAACATTGCAGCAAACTTACAAACGTTATTTTTTTTAAATTATATTATTTTCGTTATTATTTTTATTTGCATAAAGCAGTTACTTTCTTGCCTGAAAAGATATTAAAACTTAAAAGTCTAGTGTGTAGGGTTTAGTGGCATCTAGTGGTGAGTATGGAGATTGCAACCAGATGAAACACCTCCCATGGGCCAAGCATGTAAAAGAGCTACAGTGGCTGATTTGAAAACATGAATGTCACTATCCAGAGCCAGTGTGTTGATTTTTTCATTCTGGGCTACTGTAGAATAATATTTAAAACCCTGTTTGTTGATACAAATGACTCATTTTAAAGTAACGAAAACACAGAGATTCTCAGTTTCAAGTGATTATACACTAATAAAAACATACTCATTATATCATACTGTGTTTCTGCCAGTATATCCCCCTAAATCTTACACACTGGACCTTAATAAAGTGACATATTAACAGCTTTTAGCATGCCTCATTATCTTTGCTGTTGCCAGCCGTTGTGCACATGTGTAGTCTTAGAAGTCATCATGCATTGTTGGGTAATTAATCAGTAAGTTCATGTCTCATACTACTACTAATGTAGCATAGATCTGGGCATTTCTTTTAGACACAAAATCATCATACTTAATATGATTAGTTTGTTAGTGTGTGATTTTAAATACAGCTCATGTCTCTGATTCTGCTGCATTGTGAGTCTGATGCTAAACCAGTGGAGTACTTGTTTAATCTGTCGTAAAAAGTAAGTAATTACAACATTTAACAGTTAGCAGCTTATGTATAGTGACATTATTTATATCCGATATATTTCCGTAGTGACAGAAATGCGGCTGAGTTAGACAGTCTGCAAGCAGAGGCAGCTTTACATACTCATTTCATAAACTATAATGGACTCAAATAGATATAATAGGTGGGTTTCTCTTTTAGAGTGGCAGCGTCTTTCTACTTTTAATCTTAAAACTTTAAATCATTCATTATGTGCTGCAGTGTGTATTTATTTTTTGCATTTGCTTTATTATGCCATGATGTATTTTGTTTTTTTCTGTATTTAAGTTACTTTTAGGAGTTTGACTGTAGTTCACTGCTGTAGTTCCCATGCTGATGGTGTTTTTGTAACCTTTTCATTGTTTGCTGTTACATCATCTTTAAGCTTGCCATTTGCCTTTCCTGTGCACTCGAATTAAAGATAGATAAACATTACAATTGTCTCAAGTATTTCTACACTCACAGTGTGTACTCTACACATACCATCTGTAATACCTAGTCTGCATTACAATACTTCAGCGATTCGTGATTGTGCCTTGCCCTAGGGTATGTTTATTCACTGAACAAAATCTACAGCAACCACAAAATAGTACAACATGCTACAGGTTCATGACTCAGTTGGGACCATGTGGATGGAAGTAACATCTGTCACAAGGCCAGTCCAATGGAAACAAAAACACCACATGTGTCACGAGCCAGGAAAGAATTGTGTTAGTCTTGTGACTCAAAGAAGCAGTTCAAATGGAGGTATTTTTTCAAGTCCTGTCAATAGAAAAGTGATGTGACACTTAAAGTAGTGTGGTGTTTGAAAAATCAGTCATTACACATTGTTTTTAATTATAATTCCAGATATTTTCAAGTCTGTCTTAAAACAAAACTCACAGGTACATTGAAATAGTTACTGATCACTATTATCATTCATTTCAGCAATCAAAATCTGCAAAATCTATCTTGTCTTTAGTTCAAATCCTGTGTTGTTTACATCCATGTTTACTTGCTCGCAGTCTCTTTCTTCAGTGCCTTCACAGCCAGTGCGCTTTATTTTTTGTGGTGTGTTACCGCCACCAACTGTCAATCAGCAGGATGCCGGAAACCAGAGGGAGGAGGTGAATTTCACAACCCTCAGTCTGGCTCGTGCGGATGTGTCCTTGTGGGCTTGTGGTAGAGTTTACTAAGGGTCAAAACTCTAATATCTTTAACAGAAAGCCTGGAGTTGTGATGTTTGAAAGAAAACCGCATGTAGGACTCAGGCTTAGAAAAGATGCTTTTGAGCTGAAGTGTAGGAGCAAGTGTTGCAGAGCTTGACCCGTACCAGGGACTGAAAGCTCAGGTTGTCTTGGCCTCTGCTTCTTTGATATCAGCTGGCATTTTTTAATCATCTGTCTCTTGTGGGTACCTCAACTTTATGGATGTGCGGTAATAAATCACCTTTAACAAAAATTCACTAAGAATCTGAGCTCTATTGGTTATACTCTTGAGCTGTTGAACCTTTGCTGGCCCTTAGTTCTTTCATTCTCCTCATGATTGCCTTTTACTTGCATTTATTTCAAATGTTTATCGTGGTGAAAAAATCCCATTTCACAGATGATTATATCCTCTACCAGTGGGCCCATAATTTAAGACTCAACTAAAAGTCATGATGACAAACACAAAATTTCCAACCCCAGTCACTTTGAAGGGCGTTACACAGTGTAGACTAAGGTTATATTTAGTCTATAATCTCAAAATCTGTGATGTATAATCAGATATGACTAACACAGCTACTTTTATGTTCCATTCACCCATGCAGTATCCTTTTATAGGGTGCTGCCAGAGTTTAACTGTAACTCCTCTGAGACACATCTCTACTGTGTAACACATTCCTTTACAACAGTTCAACTCTGCATTTATCAACACGTTTTATTTTTAACTGTATCACATGACTGTGTGATGTGAAAGGGGTCGCTCATAGAGGCAATCCTACAGAGAATTATCACCCTGCTTTAGTTCCCCTCAGCTATACAGAGCCTTTTAGCATCTTGTAACCAATTGCTCTTGCCCACAAATCTGCTCCGATTATCCACATTTAGAACCAAAGCAGGCATTTGTTTTTTAGCACATATAGAGATTGCTCAGCACCGATCACCAGACAGATAAAGGCCCAATTCCAAGACTTAACTTGCCCATCCCCCTGAGCCCTTACCCCTCTGTTGTGTGTGTTCACATGAAGAGAAAGGGTGTCCTAATTCGTGTAGGGATAAAGGTGTAGGGCAAAGTGTTATGGCTACATGGGCCTCCAAATAAAGGCCTTTCAGAGGCACACTGCAGAAAGAAAATGCTGGTTGTATGTCTTGGTAGCTAGTTAGGTAATGTTACATTGTTATTGCTGATTTGAGCATGACAGTCCCTCATTTTGACATATTTCCATGTTGCATTTCCCTCTTTGATACGGCATACCTTAAATTTAACTTAAGTCAAGTAGTGAGGTTGCTGTTCTTTTTATATCAGTGCAAACTGGCATGGTAGAAGTAGGTAATGCTAACGTTAGCCTACAGAGCATTACTAGTGGCCTGGTAATGAAGAAGTATTTTTTTTCGATGACTTTTCGATTGATCGATAGCGTAAAACTTAAATTGTAATGAATCACAAATGTCCTGACAACAGCAAAAGCATGCCTATAGCCCACGCAAGAACTCACTACTGCCAGACAACATATTTGCAATGTCAACACTTGCTGCACCTGTTTACATAAAGGCCATTCAATTCATTCATTTTCATTCATTCATAACATACCTCTTGAGGAGTTGTCTCAATTCATTCGGGAGGTTTTCAACTACTACCTTTTCTAAGTCTGTTCAAAGGGGCAAAGTGGCAATCCAAATTGAGGGGTAGGGGGGAAAATATGAAATGAGACTGGGCAAAGTTAGCAACTTGCTGGTGAACACAGTGGAGCATTTAGCTGCTAGAGAATTAGATAATTTACTCAGGACGGGGAAAAATGGTTAGGTGTGTACAGCGTCACCGCTAAGGGCAGGTGCCACACACAATGTACGGAGGACACCAGTGCTGGAAAGGGCACCAAAATAGCCCAGTGTGATCATTATCAATCATAATTATACGTATTGCATTAACTCTCCCAGTAAAGGCCCTCTCAGACACAACAGGGTTTGAGCTGCGGTGCCGATGGTTTCAGTGCACACAATGCAGGCTCGCTAAGTGCTGCACTCGTGGTTACAGGTTAATGTTACAGTCATTAGTATCAGTTGCCTCTGCTGAGCAAAGTTTTTTGAAACTGTCTTTCGTATGACTAATGGGACAGTTGTGTTTTATTTATTTATATATTTATTTCAAGAATAATGGTATTGATATCATATCATAGAGCATATCATTATTTCATTTGTTTTAATGAAGATGATTGCATACACGTGTTTGTGTGTGTGTTTGCTTGTTCTGCGGTCCAGAACCGCGCCGGCGCGTCAAAATCACGTAACCGATTTGAGACGACGTAGCAGCAACACGCAGCCTCGCTGAGTCTCCGTTTCATTTTGTGTGGAAAGTGCAAACTTCAAACTTTGTACCACTTTTTAAATCGTCTTGATAGGCCATATAAAACCGGACTTATGATAAATAATAAACGCCATGATTTTCCTGAATATTTTTTTCACGTTTGATCCGCGTTTGATGCAGGAAGAAACGGTAAAAGCGGGCCGTTCGGCCCGATGAAAGTGCTGAAGGCAACAGCAAAAAAAACAAAAAAAAAAACGACACCCCCTTTCCTATTGGTTGAAAAATGCACCACGTCAACCAATCACAAAATTGTATGGCAACACACATCATTTGTTCCTGAGGAAGAGGGGGAAGTTGTGGGAGTGACGGCAGCGAGAGAGACCGCGATCGCGATCACAGATAGAGTTGGGATTTGTGTCGTTTAGCGTGTTTGGAGTGTATACTTAGTGTGTGGTGTAGTGTGTTTTGGAAGAGGAGAGAGGAAAATGAGCCTCCAACGACCGCATTGAGCGGTACTCGGAGGTCCGCACAGAGGAGCGGACGGTGTGGCAGGGCACGCCCACCAGGTCCGGATCTCCGTTTGCTCAGGCAGCAGAGCCACACAGTGTGTGTCACTCCTCCTGTTGTCCTACTGTTGTGTCCTCCTCCTGTAGTGTGTTGTGGTGGACAGGAACTGTTTTTCAGAGTGGCACAAATAATTTGTGTAAAATCACGTAGGAGAAAAGCAAGCACTCTCAAAATAAATCCCCTAGAAAGGTGCATGGCCAAAAACAGCGACAAACACAGACATTTTGACAGAAAGTCTTCTTCTATGAAAAAGACTTTCTGTCAAAATGTCTGTGTTTCTGGTACTGCCACCCAAGTTGGTTTATTAAATTTACCAAAAGGACATTTGTGAGTGCTGGCATTTTTCCCTTTGACAAATAATTTGTGTGACATCTGATTGTTTTGTAAATAGTTGTTCAAAAAACGCCTGAGGCATTGCTTGCATTTTAATGTAAATAGTTATATATAACGTTGTTGTTTGCTAAATTAGGACATATGTTTTTGAAGTTTACAATTTATATTTTTATTCTAAGTTACACAAATGGTTCGTTAGACATGTTTGTGGTTTTCACAGTAAAAAATCTAACTTTCTCCTACTCGGATTTTATGTTTTTTATGTGATTTTAGGTCCAGTGTGTTAATACAGTATGTCAAAATGAAAAAATAACTGTAAAGTCACACAGGTGAGGTTGTGCTGAAAAGAATGATACCAAACAAGGCAAGGTAAACAGTTTTTTTAAGGTGAAATTTAAAGGTAAAATGAAAACTAGTCAAAAACGGCCAATTACCCCCTAGACCCCTATACAGCCTGCTGTTTTTGAATAGTTCCAGTTTTTTATTTGTAACACTGATAATGAAAATATTTTTCTTCGGCTTGCTTTATACGAGGATTGCACCCCCAGTTTGGAAGAAAATCACACAGATATTTGGGATATAGTATTTTCTATTTATTTTATGAACTATATTCTGTTAAATATATGTTACTTAATATGCGGGGGCAAAACAATGGTGCTTAGGTCACCCAGATGGCCATCAGCAGCCCTGGATGTGTAAATAGGCGACCGTCTGTGAACACATTTACTCTAACAGCTGTACAAAATAGCCTAAGTCATGTGTTCACCCCCTTCTTCACAAACAGTACATTCATTAACAAAGCAGTTAATTATGTGTAAAAAAAAATATTTATATATGTGTATATATAAAAAGACTGAAGTAGTTATTCAGAGTGAAAGTTCTTTAGACAGAGGATGTGAAAAAAGAGGTTTTACTCGAGAAGAGATGGTTTTTCCTATGAAGTTAGTGGTTTCAAGCATTAGTCCACTTCCTGCGCTCTCTTTCCCATAATTGAACTGCCCTTCCTATCAGTGTGCCCTGGGCTTGTAATGGTTTGGCTGATTATAGCCACGTCGTTGATTAGTTTCCAGGCAGTTTTCATAAATATCTTCTTCTCTCTCCCGCTGTTGAGAAAAAAAGGAACAAAAATGAATTGAATGCAGCTCAATTATAACATATTGTCTTTACTTCACATGCTGTGAAGCTCAAGTCATTGTAAATCTTCAGACTGTTTAAAAGTTGTAACTTCTTAAATGACAAAATACTGATTTTTATATTTACCATTTCTGCACTGCGAGAACGACCCCTGCAAGAGAGTGACATTTTGTTTATATTCTAGCAATGTAATGCCATCAGCCATAATCTTTTTGAGCATAAAATTCATGTTACATAACTTACCCTGCACGTTTGCAGACTCTTCTCAGAATGGCGAAAGCAATTACAAAGATCAGGCAACACACACAAGGAACAGTGACCGCCACGACAATCAGTAGCTTGTTCAAATTTCCACTTTCTTCATGCTCTGGGGGGGGGGGGGGGGGGGGGGTTGGATATTAGTATTACACCCACTAGAAATGTAATATGCTGTTAAATTAAGATGAACTTCATGCTAAGAGCTATATTTGTGTGGGTAAGATCATTGTTTCATTAAGGAAGTTGAGGTGGTGTTTGCATGTCCTGTGGATTTTCACAATGCCCCATGCACCAACATTTTGTGCAGTGATGTAGACAATATCAAGGCTCTAAACTTGAGAAGCAATTTGTCAAACCAATATTATGTAGAAGAGAGACACTCCTGTAAGGTTTTGTGTCTCTCACTGAGAAGGTTCACTGTGAACTTGCACAGTTTGTAAACATGCACTCAGTGCCAGCCATCACCTACCTTTACTTTGGATTATGTGTGTGCCTAGTTCCTGCAGGTACCGTATTGCAACATCAGCAAAGTAATTATTGGCTCTGTTGTATGTAATAATCCCACATTCATCCTGTTCCTGTTTACTTCCTATTTCTTTGTTGTTGTCACAGGGATTACCTCATCTAAACCTGTAATTTAGGACTGACAAGCTCACCTTTAATTATCAGCTCCCATTTCTGTTCCCCAGATCCTTTATCTGTGTTGATCTCACAGGTGTAGTTTCCTGTATGAGACTTCTCGGCTCTCTCTATGACCAGTGCGTACATCTCGCTCCCCGACAGAGATATATTTATTTTCAGGCTGCGAGCTTTCTGACTCTCATCCAAGAGTCTCACTGGTTTGAAGGTTAACAGGCGAACGTTGTTCATTTTCCATGTCAGCTGAGTGAGCGTGTCGTTTGTCCTGTTCTTGCAGCGCAGGATCACTTTGCTGCCAACCACCGTAGAGATGCTGTTTCCTTCTGTGAGGGAAACATCAATTTTAGATGATTTCTCTACAACAATTATGTCACCAAAACACTACACTAGAGTTAAGCAAAAGTTTGTGTACCGTATATTTTGAGAAAGATATGTTTCCTTGCCGAAAGTTAGATGAGAAGATTGATACCACTCTCACAGTTGAACACTAAATATGAAGCTACTGACAAGTAAGTTTCCAGTTCTTAACAAGTCACGGTGTGCTATGAAGCAATGTTTGAGTCCAAGTCATAATGTGCTGTTCACCAAGTATAATGCCATATTAACAACAGAGTGTGGTCGGATGATTCAAACAAAGTGGATTTGGGGAATTAAGTGTTGACTTGCTGCAAATGAATACCATTAACGTTAATTGATTTAGGAAATTAAGGGAAATGACTTGATTCATGGCACACTTTTTAAATAACATACTTCAGTCGGGAACACTTAAGTCAAAGAACGCTTTATTCCATTTGCAGTATTATATTTGGCAGTATGGCTCTGTTCTGGGGTCTCTATGCCTTTCCTTGAGCCTAAGCAGAAAGCCTCTTCCACGTGCCTAAGCCTAAGGTGGAGAAAGCACACCTCTCTGCCCTTCCATGTGCAAACAAGGAAAGCCTGAGGAAGAGAAAGCAAACAGCCTTGCCCTTCCATGCGCCTACATAGAAAGCCCCCCCCCCCCCGGGAACAGAACAAAGCAGCGTCGATGACAAATAGAAATGACATTGATAAGTCAGTCACAGCAAGAAAAGGAGGAGCTGGGGTGGAGGCTGCTTGCAGAGGAAGCAGCAACAGTAGGCAGGCCAGAGCAGTTTAAATAGGTTGCCCTGAATGAAATTTGTCAATTGATTGCATAGGAAGGAATCATGTGATCTATCAGCTGACTCCCTTTCATCAATCAGCTGCTCCATCAGTTGATTGGGCTGTTTGAGATCAGCTGATGTAGCTGGGATGTGAACTGAGCTTGACATCGTGTCCTGCCTGAACTTTTGCCTTTAAGTTTTTATTAATTAATTTTAAACAGACAAAAAAACAACAGAAACAACAAAACTGACACATTGTTCCAAGTGATGCAAACGAGATACACAGTAACCATGAATCAGTAAAAGAAAATTACCAAAAAATAAATAAAAACACAACAAACCCCCAATTTAAAAAAAAAAAAAAAAAAAAAAAAAGGCAGCAATAACGTATCAGTTTTACATCTCATGAATATCACAGAGCTTATACATATATATGTAGGGATGCATCGACCTGGGAGCTTCGGCCAGTCTATAAAATCAACACCGATACCGCCGCTATGGCCGACAGCAGATATGACAACATGATCTCTACAAAAACAAAGACATGTCTATACAATCAAATCAAATTTTGTGCTAAAAACCACTATATAGCCTAAATTTGAAAAAAATAATGTCCTTTTTCACCTCCAAAAAAATTTCAAAAAAATCCACAAATCATTGGATTACCATATTGTTTTCTCTCAACAAGTCACAGCCACCCCGAAGATCACAAGCAGCCAGCAATAATAGGCCACTTGTACATCCGAATGACAATGAGATGTCGATCTGACAGACATGTTGAGGAAAATAAATAAATAAAAATATTATTTTTTGACTAGTATCAGCCGATACCGACCTAGTTACCGATACATCGTGCATCCCAACACATATAAATACACATACCTATCTTGTCAACTAGGACCCTACACCATCCCTAATGCAAGCCAGAAAAGCCTGCCACATCTGGCTAATTTTGCTTGGGACGTTGTTTACCCTGGCAATCATATTCTCAAAAGCAGCTAGCAAATTCTGGCTTACATGGGCTCTTCCAGTTCCGTAAAATGATTCTGGCCACTACCATACAGCCTGTTAATATCAATCCAAGCTCTGCCTTAGTTAGGCTTGATGGTATGAGAGACTTGTCTCCTAACAGACATAGCTGTGGTGATTCTAGTAGAGGTAATTTAAGCCACTTTTCAAAATTTTTCAGTATCATTTTCCAGAAAGGAAGTACCCTTGGACAGTCCCATATAGCATGAAGAAATGTACCCTCTTCTTTATTACATTTCCAACACTTTTTGTCCTGGGTTAATCCCATTTTAAACAGTTTCAGGGGTGTGAAATAATATCTATGTACAATTTTATAGTGGATAAACTTAATCTCACATCCCTCGTAGCCCATCCCACATTTGAAATCACATCTTGCCATGTTTCCTCATTAATCTCTTTACCAAGGTCCTTTTGCCATATCAATCTCAGACTTTCACACATTCTTTTTTGTATATTTGACATTTTCTTATAAAATCCTGATGCAGAATGTAAAGTACAGTTGCAATCAAATTTATTCAACCCCCATTGCATATTAGGCTTATTGGCAAAATATACAATTTCTCAGCTGTTTGCAATAAACAAATTACACAAGAACTGTTTAAGTAGTTCAATGAAACTAATATTCCAAGGGTTTTGATCCAAATTCAACACAAAATGCTACTTTTAATGACCCCTTCATGACAAGCATCTTCAGTACTTAGTAGAGCACGCTTTTGCTGTTATGACCTGCTGCAAACGTGATGCATAGCCAGACCCCAGCTTCAGACAGCGTTCCTGAGGAATCTTAGCCCATTCCTCATGGGCAATGGCCTCCAGTTCTGTAATATATTCTTGGGTGTGCGTTTTGCAACCGCCTTCTTCAAATCCCACCAGAGATTTTCTATGGGGTTCAAGTCAGGCGACTGTGACGGCCACTCTAGAATCTTCCATTTCTTCTTCTGAAACCAAGCCTTGGTGGACTTTGAGGTATGCTTGGGATCATTATCCTGTTGGAAGGTCCAATGACGCCCAAGCTTCAGCTTCCTCACAGACAGCATGACGTTTTTACCTGAGATTTCCTGATACTTGACTGAATCCATCGTGCCCTCCACACGCTGCAGGTTTCCAGTGCCAGAGGCAGCAAAGCAGCCCCAGAGCATCACTGAGCCACCGCCATGCTTCACTGTAGGCAGGGTGTTCTTTTCAGCATATGCTTCATTCTTCTTCCTCCAGACATACCGCTGTTCCATAGGCCCGAAAAGTTCCAGTTTTGTTTCATCACTCCACAGAACAGAATTCCAAAACTTCTGTGGCTTATTTATATGGTTTTGAGCATATTAGAGCCGACTTTTCTTGTGCTTTTGGGTCAGTAGTGGTGTATGTCTTGGAGTCCGGGCATGGAGCCCTTTGGTGTTTAGTATGCGCCTTATTGTACAAGCTGAAACCTCAGTGCCTGCTGCCACCAAGTCTTACTGCAGGTGTTTTGCAGTCACTCGAGGGTTTTTGACCACTTGCCTCCTCAGGAATCTGGTGGCAGCCGCTGATAGTTTCCTCTTTCTGCCACATCCAGGTAGTGTAGCCACTGTTCCTTTAACTTTGAACTTGCGAACTATGCTTCCAACTGTATCTCTAGGAGCATTCAGAGCTTTTGCTATCTTTTTGTATCCTTTTCCTTGTTTGTGCAAGGCAATGATTTCTTCTCTGAACTTTTTGGACAATTCTTTTGACTTAGCCATATTTCTAACATGCAATCAAACGTCACTCTCAGCAAAACCCTAGCCAGTCCAGGTATTTATGTGTTCTGTCTCAAGCACACCTGAACTAATGAAGCCCTTGATTAGTTGCACCAGGTGTGCTTGAAACAGGGGGTTGAATAATTGTGATTAGTTGCATCAGGTGTGCTTGAGACAGGGGGTTGAATAATTTTGAGACTGCAGTAGTGATTAAAAGTAGCATTTTGTGTTGAATTTGGATAAAAAACATGGTAATATTAGTTTTATTAAACTATTTCAACTGTTCTTGTCTACTTTGTTTATCGCAAACAGCTGAAAAATTGTACATTTTGCCAATAAGCCTAATATGCAATGGGGGTTGAATAATTTTGATTGCAACTGTATGAGGTAAATTAAGAAATTTTTGGACCTCATTCTCCTCTTCCTCTACCCTTTCCAGCTTAAAAGTGGATTTCATACTACTCCTGAGCTGCAAATACTTCCAAAAATCCCCTTTTTTAGTTAAGTTAAATTGCTCTTTAAGGTCCTCAAATGATATAAATATACAGTCTTTATAAAGATCGCTGACATGTATCCCTTTTGTTATTCATATCCCAAAAAAACGCCTTTTTTCCTACACAGATTGAAGAATTATTCCATATAGAGAAATATCGCCCATTGAGAGTGCTGTAAAATTAGGCTCCTCTCTTTTGTCTGTGTTACTATCTTCTTCTGAGATAACATTCTTACAACCCCAAATGGAGCTGCTAATGCCTCCTCTATTTTTACCCACCCTGGGTTAGATCCATGATTTGCCCAATGCCTTGTTAAGTTATTCATTTCAAATGCAATGTTATACAACTCCATATTACGGAGGGCCAATCCACCACATTCTCTTGAGGCAAACAGTTTTTTCAGAGCTATTCTCGTTTTTTTTTCCATTCCACAAAAAGTCTGTAATCAGATGATTATATTGTTTGAAAATTCCATCAGAAATAATTACTGGTACCATCATAGAGATATAATTAAATTGTGGAGCTACGTTCATCTTAATGATATTAATTTCCCCCCATAATGTTAAATTTAATAGTTTCCATTTGTCCAGATTTGTTATAATTTTTTTAATTAAAGGAGACATGTTAATAGAAATAATATTTTCAATATCTGGACATAGCCTAATACCTAATATTTCATTCCAGTTGGGATCAATTTAAATCCAAATTTGGAAATAAGTGATTGGTTACACCCTTTTGATATTGGCATACCTTCAGATTTTTGCCAGTTTATTACATAGCCTGATATTTTTGAGAAGGATTCAACTATAGATAAAACATTGGGAATTGACATTATAGGGTCCTTGATCAGTAATAAAATATCATCTGCATACAGAAACATCTTGTGCTCCTCTTCGCCCTGCACAACCCCTTTAATATCCATTTCTGCCCTAATAGCAGCAGCTAGAGGTTCCAGGGGTGATATTATTCCATTTGTTATTACTGCATAAATCACATTCATCCAATTAATGAAACCCTCCCCACATCCGAATACCCTAAAAGTATGTCGCAAAAAGCCCAACTCCACCCTGTCGAACACCTTTTGCGCATCTAGCGAAAAGGCAGCTATTGGTATATTTTCGTCCTGATTGATCTGTATGAGATGTAACAGACATCTTATATTATCAGTGGATGACCTTCCTTTAATAAATCCTACTTGATCCGCATGTATTACGGATGGTAAAATATTTTCTACCCTCTTAGCGAGGACCTTTGTAAGAATTTTGCAGTCCACATTAATTAGACTGATGGGCCTAAAACTTCCTGGGTCCGTTAGGTCTTTATCTTTTTTAGCAATTAAAGAAATTAAAGCTTCATTAAATGTTTCTGGTAGCTTACCAAATAGGAATGATTCTTTAAACACTGTCACAAGGATAGGGGCTAGTTTGTCGACATACCTCTAATAGTAGTCTGAGGGAAAGCCGTCTAAACCAGGCAACTTTCCAGCCTTCATCGATAAAATAGCACTTTTTACCTCCTCTACTGTTATAGGGCTATCAAGATAATCTTTCTGATCCATTGATATTTGTGGCAAATCAATCTTTGAGAAGAATGCTTCATAATCACTCACCTTTGGATTAATTTCTGATTTGTAAAGCTGGTTATAAAAATTTGCAAATGTCTTATTAATCTCCTTAGTGTTTGTCAACAATTCCCCTTTATTATTTTTAACAGCGGCTATAGCATGACTAGACTCCTTTTGACACAGCTGTCTAGCCAATAATTTCCCAGATTTTTCGCCACTCTCATAAAAATTACTTTTTACACACATATTTGTTTAAATACTGTATCATTATATTTTCCAGATATTGTTTTCTCTAATTCTTTGAGCCAGTGTCCTGCCTGAACTAACACTACGCTTAATTTTTTAATCTGTGAGTCTGGGTGAAAGTTTCAAGTGTGGGACATCGGTAGCAGAGTCGATAGTGCCAGCACCCCATGTACAGAGACGGTGCCTCGCTGCAGTGGTTGCAGTTTCGATTCTGGCTTGCAACCATTTGCTGCATGTCATCCCCCACTCTCTCCCTCTCTCCCCATTTCATACTGTCCTGTCAATTAAAGGCAAAACACCCAAAAAATAATCTTTAAAAATAAAATAAAGTTACAAGTGTTTTCATGTCCAAAGACTCAAGTTCAAATGAAGTCACGAGTCATTGGTGTTAAAGTCCGAGTTGAGTTGTCTTTTTTTTTTTTTTTTCAAGTCTAAAGTAATTAAGTTGTCACTCAAGTCTGGCTCGAGTTCAAGTCATGTGACTCGAGTCCACACCTCAGGTAACTATCAATTGTAATTTGGGGGCCACCCCCCACCCCTGAGTATGCTCAAAATGCCAGGCAACCATGCACCACTGCCCAAAATAATCATAAGCAAATATAATCACTACCATAAATAAATAATAAACAAAGGTGTAGTACTACAGTGTGATTTGTCCAAGTGGTGTTGCTGCACCTCAGCAGGATGCGCTGCTGGAGCAGTCAGTACATTCTGGGCATATTCCACTTATTAGCTTTGCGTAAAGTTAATGTTTCCATCAGTCACTGATGGCAAAGTGATTATTGTTTCACTGTCCCAGCACTAACACTACAGTCAGGACGTGCATGAAAAGGTAACATTAATGACAGTATGTCATTTTGTGCTAGAACTGTGATTGCGTAAACATTATTTTTTTAACAAGCATCAGTAATTGCATGAAATGGAAACAAATTTTTTTGGTGAGGTCAGGCTGATTTCAAAGTGCCAATCAATCAACCATCACTAATTTTAGCTATCATAGCTAAGCTATCTACAGCTATTTAGCCACACATTTACCCAGCCAAGGGCGTAGGTTTAATTTTAACATTGGTGGTGACACATATTAAGGACATTTGAACGCCAAACACATAATTTCCTGCAATCTGATGAAGTTTTATGCACCAAATTATGGTGGAAAGGAATCTTTATGCAAATAAAATACAGAATTGAGGTGATAGGTGATGATTCAAAATACAAATACAGGCTGTACTCCTATATAATGCATTAAGGCTCTCAGGTATTCTGTATGGCTTTCAAATATTTATTCTCCTATAAATCAGCTTTACTCGTATATGTCATTCCTGCTGAGTCAGCACACATGCTGGCATAGTTTACTCTTCTTTTGGGGGAGAAGTGACCTCTTCAAATGCGCATGTGGCCCCTGTTCACACCAATGATAAATTCATTCATTTTAATGAATTAAAAAAGCCCTGGGCTTGAATAGCTCACATGTGATTTCCTCTCATGTTCACAACTTTCTACACGTTCAAACATGACACATATCTGTGTTCTCTTAGAAGTCATAAATTCATTATTTAATTAAAATCCAGCTGTAATGTTTAAAAAAAAATCTACCTGCCATATAGTCCACTGTACATGAGCTCATTGCTGATATTGATATGGTAGTATCACCTTCAGACTGACTGATGGACACAAAAACCTGTTTGGGACTCTCTCTGAATGACACAGAGTTTTAGTGGCTGTGCGCTGCTCATCACTGGAGGTGGAATACAGAAACTAACTAAAAACATTTTTGAGGGACCATTTCGTATTAAATCATTAAAAGCACTGTCCCTTACTGAATCAGTAGGAGACGCAGTTTTCCCCGTAATTTTGTGCACAGAAATGTTAGAATGAGGACAATGCAAAGGAGTGCGCTCACATATTGGTAGGGGCAATTCTGTCCTCCCACAGTAGTGGCAGGGACATATGAAAACCTACGTCCTTGCACCCAGTGACTAATAATGGCGCTCATGGGCGTATTCAGCCATCGCTAATATCTTTAGCCTTACCTTTAGACTTGGTCCCCCATGTGTTGGCTCCATGGCTAATGCCTTGGTTTAAAGGTAACAAAATCCACCTACAAGCACTTTTTAAGCCCATTAACTAACACCTCATATCTCGCTTCTTTAATCCGTACAGAAACCAAACTACAACATCATTTTGCGGTTCAAACACAGCCTCACATTTACAATAAAGATATGAAAGTGGTATCAATCTTCTCATCTAACTCTCGGCAAGACAACAACAAACATTCTCAAAATATCAGACTATTTCTATACTATACTACTTGCCAGAGTAAAGGTGTTGCAAATGACTTTTACCTGCTGCTGAGAAAATCCAAAACATGCAACATATCAGAGAAACGGTCTTGTTGATGGCCAGATATTTACAGAAATCCTCCATTACACCTTTAAACAGAAACAGTTTTGTTAAACCTCATGTTTATTTGGGTTTATAATGTGGTCAACTTCAAACATATGGTCTGAAAAAATCCCCTTTTCAAGAGTTTCCTGCCCAAAAAAAGCAGCAATAACAGTGAGTCACAGACTAATAAAATTAAAGTGTTTAGAAAGTCACATCTTTTCTAACCAGACCCAGTCTGATAAATATAGCAACTACACTTACCGGTAGTGAGTATCTGTATCTGCTGTTGTGTCTCGTTCTAAGTTCCTTGAATCTTAACTACAGCCGTAATTTAATATTACTAAGGTAACAAAAAAGAGGAAACTGTATATTGTACTACGAAATACTGCGAATGACACAGTAGCCAGCATGTATGTGAGGTGAAGTTTAAACCTGGCCAGGCCTCCCACACACACAAGAAATGGTTTCCATACAGGAAGTGAATGTTGCGATGACTCTGGTGGTCTAGTGTTTGTGTCTTTGAGGTTGCAGAGTTTTTTGTGAGCCTTTTCTCAGACCTCTGTCAATGCAATAGTTTGCAGAAATTTGTATTTTACTGTTCTACCCACATGACATCCTGAGTGTGAGAGACCTTAGATCACATTGTATGCTTTACTTTTCTTTTTCATGTTTGAAAATGCACAAAAACAGTAATATTTAGAGAGCCTTTCAGAGCCAACTTGGAAATGAAAGTTAGCCTGCAAACTTTCATTTTCAGCTTTATCAATGCAGGTGAAGTGCCTCTTGATGCAATTGACAGACATTCATCCAATCAGAGCAAGGAAACATGTGACGCAGTGCTGTAAACAGACTACAGTGTGCAGAGATTAGCTGTCATTATATAGCATTAATATGTCTGTAAACAAGTGTTGAGCAGTGTTGAGTAGTACCTCAGCACAAAGCTCCACATTAGCTGCAACCATCTTGGTTTTGGTTTTGAAAATGTCTCAAGAGCATTTCCTTTTACTACGCTAGGTTTATGGTCACTGTAGTGTCACCAAGTGTGCATGAGCCACAATGACAAAAGGCTCTATCACATACTTTGCATTAGGCAAAATGACCTGAGCCACATCGGCTCGGAATTTGTTTGAACAGGAGGGGGACTGAATCCATTTGCCTGAGCAAATATGGTAAATGGACTTGCATTTGTATAGCTTTCTAGACTTCTGACCACTCAAAACGCTCATACACTACTTGCCACGCATCCATACCTACCATCCTACCATACAAGGCGTGTTCTAACAACTGCTCAGTTGACATTTGCACGCAATCACATATCGATGGCACAGACACCACAGCAATTTGCGTCTCAGTCTCTTGCATGAGGAAACTTAAACATGCAGACAGAGGAGCCGGGAATCGATCTGCTGATCTTCTGATTAGTGGCCAACCCTCTCTACTTCCTGCATGAAAACATGAGCTGGCAGATTCATCTGGTTCCCAGGCTATTTGATACTAAGAGAGTATGAAATGGACCTTGCATCCTGATTTTGGCAGACACTGTACACCCTGAAAATGTAAATTGAGCCTTTTGCTTTTGAATTTGAGATATCGTCATGTCAGCTCATATAATATGAAAATGACAGCAAAGGGCAGTTTGCATTTTCAGTTTAGACAATGGCAGCTTTCTCTCAAGCTTCTTTTGCAGTCAACCATCAACAGTTGAGGACAGGATAAAGCGGCTGAAAAACACCAACAAGATGTCACCATTTCACTGTTTGGTCTTCAGATCAAGGTTGTCTGGAGTCTGAGCTTGTGTATGTCATAACAGGTGTGGCCAACTCATCCAGACAGAACACAGACAGCTGTTCTCATCTTAAGAGCCACATAACAAACATGAATGACACACCCAAATCCATCACACGCTATGGCAGCACATAACTGCCATGAGTGGTTTTCGTAATGTGCAATTACTAAGCCCAGTGGGCAAGACTTGTTTCCCCATATTCATTTAAAGTCTGCCTTGTGTCTTGTGGAGACTCAAAGCATTGCTTTTACGTGAGTCGCTGATGATAGGATGCTGTCTCATTGAGGACTATCTTAATATCTTCCGCTGTCACTGTTACTCAAAATTTCAAAGTCCTTAGTCAGAGCACATTTCACTCAGGGCTGGGTATAAATGGATATCATGTAATCGAGACTAGTAAAGTTAACAAGTAACTATAATCAGCCCAGATTATTGAAAAAATGGCATTAGATCATAGTTACATTGTCAAGGATTACTTAAAGCTACAAAACTTTTTTTCATGCTATCAACTCGTCAACTTAGGAAAAGCGTGCCTGACATATAGGGTTTCTGTACAAGCGCTCCACCCTGTGGTGGACCTGGTGGTGTTGATGGAAGGTTCAAGCAGGAGCAGTCGTTCCAGAACAGTATTCCTTTCCTAGCAATTTTGCCATCACTTCAGCTAATAAAATGTGGATGTTGGAGAATACACAGTACACCTGTAGCTTGTACCAGTTCTGTTTTTGTAAGGGGAATTTGATTTGACAAACTGAAGCAGTTAATTTGCATTGAAAATGTTTTTAAATGATTAAAGAGAAAAAAATAATGTGAATTTGTGGAACTCACATTTTTGTGGCTTCATCATTTTTTAGTATAAATTGCCATATTTTTAATCTTTGATTTTTAAGTCATTAAAAATAAATCCAAAAGTATTTCTATTACTTTTTTTTTGGTTATGTCACTAATTACAAAAAAATGCCATGTAACGTGTTCACTAACTGACTACATTTCAAAGTTATCTTACCCAGCCCTGCATGTCTGAGAAACTGCTTCATTTGCCACTAGCGGGGTTTTTACACAATCCCACTCAGCAGTAAAATGATCGGTGTGGAATCTTATCTCCATCAGTGTCACATCCTGTGCTGCAGTCGCTTTTAGCACATCAGCTTTTTGCCCATCTGCATCCGACACGTGACATGTACTGTTTTGACAATATAAATATTTTTGTTCTTCTTCCTTTAGCTGCGGAATGTGTTTGTCTAAATGTTTAGGAGTTCATCCAAAAGTGCCCCGGGGGTCACGGAGCTGCAAGTACTTTTCTTCGAAGAACAGCTTCACTGCATTTAAAGCTCTGTGATCAGATTTCTAGACAAACAATGTTGAGTTTGTAATTTCCACCAGGGATGGGAGAGGCATGTCTGTCACTTTTTAAAACCATATTCAGCTGTAGAGAGAAGATGGGAGTTAAGAATTAAATATGAAAAGCTCATCTGATGTTAATCACTACATTGCGCTCACAGACCTGATCTTTAAAAAGTCATTTTAAAGATAAAAGCATTATATTATGAAGTGTTAGGTCTCTGTCTAAACATGCTCTTAAGTACAATTAGTGCATTAACAATAATGATTCCTGTAAGACATGTTAATGCCCTTGATTACTGGCATGTGTCTGGATGAATAGTTTCTGTCTCCACAGGGTCTAAATTTAGCTTTTCAGATACCAGCTACTCTTTGCCTAAAACTCTTGAGACCCTTTGTTAGGCCTCTCACGTACCTGACCATACATGGTGCAAAGTGCTGCGAGTTTTGGCTGTTTCTGTTAACTTACAAGGTGTCAGCATGTGATTGTTTGGTCCTCTGTGAAGTTCCAGAGAGAGATTATCTGAAATAAAACTCTAACTGGATGTTATTGTTGTCATGGCATTAAAGGTAAAACAGTGAATAAACATTACAGCTGTGTGAGGGTGTCTACTTGTTTGGGAGTTCTTCCGCTGCATAGTGGCCAAAAATCAATGAATGCAGCTTTTTAAATGCAGAATAAGTGAAGGAAGGATAGGCAGAGCTTGGACAGTAACCATGCGACACCACAAGAGGGCATACAAAGACCAATATGAAAAGTTGGGGTCTATAAATGTTTATAAATGTTGGAAAAAATCTCCAAATGACCAGATGTAAAGTGATACCAAACTGATCCATCCACTCAATGTTAAAGTAAAGCTCAGGTCTGACTCTGCCCCCGTGACCTGAACTTTTTAATCTTGTTCAAACCTGCTTTTTATAGAAGAGAGACGCACTGGGTCTAGGGATAAAACTGCCTTTTACAATATTGCCCCCTAGTGGTAATTTAATCATAAACCTCTCAGCCTTTTATTAGTCATCAATAATCAGTCATATACTGTTTGAATAAGCCCTGTTTTTCCTAGTAAACCACTACACACTAAATGTGTTTAAGACTTAAAGAGCACTTGGAGCGTCAGTCCTCTGTACTTATATCAATTTCCTCCCACAGTACAAAGATGTGCAGATTAGGTTAAATGTAAATTTGCAGCATTCAAATGAAATAGCTTGTCTGTCATGTTCTCATTTTTTTCTGAGACTACTACCTTTTTAATTCTCTTCAAGCTTCTGTAAAGCCTACTTCCAACATAAATTAACTTTCGTCTGTGTCTTAAACATGTTCAATCCTTGAATTTGAGGGAATGGGGCCTGGAAAGCCCTTGAAAAATCATTGAAATTGATGTTTAAGAAGGTGAGAGAACCCTGTTAATATTGGTGTGGTGTGTCTCAGTGGGACTTAGCTTTAGTATTTCCTTTTCTTACTTTCTGCTTTTACTCCTGTACATTTAAAAGTGAAAAACCGTGTGCTTTCACTTCACTAAATTTATCTCTGGGCTTGGAAGTTTCTTATTTTGCAGATTGAAATTAATCAAAATGTAATCAACACATAAATTATGGTGTATCATAATAGATGAACATAAGACACAATTCACCCAAATGTATGAAAAGTAGTTAAAATGAGCTCCACCTTTACCCACTAAGACATTAAAGTGATGTACCCATTAATACATTATTTATTTTATAATCCTGTAAGATGGCAATTAGTTTGAAGAAAGGTATTTGTCCATCCAACTGTCTAATATGCAAATAGAAACTGCTTCAACCATTTCATAGGTGTGCACAAGTGTGGGGGAATTAGTCAGATGCGGGTGTGTTTCTCAATAATTGACAACAACCTGTGCACCATATGTCACATATGGCACAAACAAAAGAACAAGGGAACAAGGAAAAAATTGGAAAAACCCAGAAACATCAGGCTCTTTTCACAATAAAGTCTTTATTGTGCAGTCTTTTCTATTTACAAAAAAATGTCCCTCCTATGAATGAACACATTGGCCTTGCAGCATTCATAAATCACTCAAAATGTTCAACACTGTATACTCTTATGCTGTGCATTAAAAATTGGTCTTTGGTTTGGATCCCCAAATCCATTATAGCATGCCATGCCATGATATCTCATGGTTAATCTTTTGGGAGATAGTTTGCAGAATAAATCTCAAGTATATTCCTCTTCTGCTAAGTACTTCTTCAGTGTTACCACTTCTCTCTGGCAGAGTAACTTTTTCAATGCCCTGAAACCTAAATGATGAGATATGTTTGAAGTCGTTGGAAATGGTTAAAATGGTCAGAGCAGTTTCTGTTTAAGCTCAATGTTTGAAATAATGGTGCTGAATACACATAATGAAGGTCCTGGAGGACCGAAACACTAGTGTTACTGATAAATTATGAAGCCGAGCAAGAGCAGTGTGCAGGATTTTCTGCTCAAAGACTAAAATAATCCTGTAAGATAACATACATTAATCTTTAATTGGTCAGTGTGGTATGACCTTAACTTTTGCTACTTTGAAGCTCCAGGTGGTAACTTTTCTGAAAATGACTGTGTCATATTTGCTGAAACTATCACTATTTTCCAAAAGACATACATGAGATGGATAGCCTGTAAAAAAAAAACAAAAAAAAACATGTCCCTGCTATAATCAGACTGTGGTACACCAAAAACAACCAATCAGAGCCAAGGAGTCTCTAACACAGCTGTCAGTCATCTCAATCACAGCACATGAGCTATGGTCAGACTTTCAAAAAGGGCAATGTAGTAACAGAATCTTGATTCACATTTGATTAGCACTGCCTAGTTTGACAGTTTAACCCCCAGTTCACAAGCAGTGATTGACGGTGATTGACAGCTGCATTAGAGACTCCTCTGCTCTGACTGGTTGCTTTTGTTCACATGCAGTAAGGCCATTAGAAGCGCAGCTATTACATGGCAATAGAGTAGGCAGAGGAGTTTGATTTTTTCCCCACAGATTATCTGTCTTATAAAGTGCTGTGTATATATAGTGACAGTGTATGCAAATATGAAATATTGTTTGTTTTTTTAAATAAAAGTTACCAACTATAGCTTGAAGCACATTTTGATGCTAATATTTTTGTACTTTTACTTTAGTAAATATTTAATGCAGGACTTTTCCTTGTAACAGAGTATTTCTGCTCTCTGGTGGAAGTAAGTAACATAGCATGAAATTGAAAAAACTCAAGTAAAATCCAGTTGCACTGATTGGGATTGATACATGATGTTGTGTGTATCTGTAAACAACAACAACAAAAAAGTCTATTACATCAGACACAACAGATGTACAAAAATGCACATGTCCAAATAAATGTTTTCTTCCTGTTACTCTAAGATAAGTCCAGCCACTGTGCAAGACCCCTTTAACAATGTTATTATTTTAATGTTTAATATGAAACATATGTCTGTCAGACATCTCAACATACAGTATAGCATTGTGTGTGTGTGTGTGTGTGTACTTGTACATGCAACACAGTGAGGACCATAACCCATATTTTAGCAACAGAGTAAGGACGTGTGCAAAGTGAGGACATTTTGGCTGGTCCTCACTTTGTCAAAGGCCTGTTTGAGGGTTGAGACTTGGTTTTAAGGTTTAGGTTAGAATGAGGTTAGGGTTAGGGTTAGGCATTTAGTTGTGATAGTTGAGGTTAGGGTAAGGGGCTAGAGAATGCATTATGTCAATGAGGGTCTTCACAAAGATAAAGGTGTGTGTGTGTGTGTGTGTGTGTGTGTGTGTGTGTGTGTGTGTGTGTGTGTGTGTATATGTGTGTGTGTGCGCGCGCGTGCGTGCATGCAGAGAAACATGGACACAACACTTCTTGACCACGTGTGACTTTTTATTGCGTTGGTTCACATTCCAAAAGAAGATACTGCCACACATCTATCAGCAAAGAAGACTACAAGTTAGTAAAAAGGATTTTTTTTTGTTCTTTCCAAAGATTAATCATGTCTTCTTACAAACATACAGGCAATGCAACAGTCTTAAAATACAAAAAATCATACATTACCAGTCATATCGATGTACACAAGGAGGACAAGCGTCATGCTTTAATTGTAATACTTTTAAATGCTTGAATTTGGTCACAATTTGGTGATTCACTGAAGGCTCTTTTTGATTCAGATTCCACAGCATTGGATTATGGGAGGCTCAGGGATGGCTGGGGGTCACAAAGGGGTCACAGCTGCCTTCTCTCTGAGTTTCTCTAGAGCCGTTTGATCATACCCCCAAAACCAACACTGTGAGGAATTTGTCTGTGTGCCCAAAGGCACATGTATCAGCAAAAGCCTGCACTGTGTGAGTGTCTTCATGTCCCCAAACATGTGACTTAATGCCCTAATATCTTTATTAAATTATCTTGTTGAATCTTTAAATACTTATTTACCATCTGTGCTGCATAATAGAGACATGTTTTATGTGTTTGTGTGGGTGGGTGGGTTCATGTGTGTGTGTGTGTGTGTGTGTGTGTGTGTGCTGAGGGGTCGCATACAAAAACTCAGATTT